TTATAAAAACTGCATCAGAATGTTTGTTAGTCCCAGAAGAGTCAGAAAATGCCATTTTTTGCAGATATGTGCCACTTGCTTCATACTGTGTCTCATGATTTTTTGGGTACCGTTTGATAATCACATTGTGAGCCATATGAAGTCCTATTCCTACAGATACCTCATAAATAGCTACCATTTTGTGAATGACAGCCTGTCTGTCAGCAGGGATAACCTGAACAGAATATCAAGCTATCAGTACTTGATCAACCACAGAGAGAAATGTCAGCAGCAGGATGTCCTTCTCCTGTTGTTTGTGAAGACTTCTCCTGAAAACCGCCATCGAAGGGATGCAATTAGACAAACTTGGGGTAATGAGAAGTACGTTCTTTCTCAACTTAATGCCAACATTAAAACCCTCTTTGCTTTAGGACGACCAACAGGCCATCCGCAGAAAACACAGCGACAAAGAGAACTTGAGCTCGAAGACCAGAAATACCAGGATTTGATTCAGCAAGACTTCTTGGATACTTTTCACAATCTTACTCTTAAATTGCTTTTGCAGTTTAGCTGGGTGAATGCCTACTGTCCTCATGCCAGGTTCATAATGTCTGCAGATGATGACATATTTATCCATATGCCAAATCTCATTGCTTATCTCCAAAGTCTCACACAAATGGGTGCTCAAGATCTCTGGATTGGTCGTGTCCATCGTGGATCCCCTCCCGTAAGAGACAAGACTAGCAAATACTATGTTCCATATGAAATGTACCAGTGGCCCTCTTACCCTGACTACACAGCAGGAGCTGCATATGTAATATCAAATGATGTAGCAGCTAAAGTCTATGAGGCTTCATTGACTCTGAATACAAGTCTTTATATAGATGATGTTTTCATGGGTCTCTGTGCCAATAAAATGGGAATTGTACCACAATATCATGTATTTTTTTCTGGGGAAGGAAAGGCTCCATATCATCCCTGCATTTATAACAAGATGATGACATCTCATGGACACGTAGATGATCTTCGCCAGCTGTGGCAGCAGGCTACAGATCCCAAAGTTAAAAAGATTTCTTCAGGAATCTGGGGTAGAATGTACTGCAGATTAGTCAATATTGTGCTTCTCTGTAAACTGTACTATGTGGACACATATCCTTGTTCAGCTGCATTTTCTTAATACTTGAATATCTGCACTGAAGATCCACTGAGCCATAACAAAGCAACATTTTAGGTGTTTATCCAAAATATATGTAAACATGGAAAGAGGTAAAATTTACACATGAATACTTGGGGTGGGCAGAGGGAGAGAAAGAAGATGGTCCTAGGGTCCTAGATTCTGTTCAGAGACTTAGTGGAATAGCTCTCCTGTTGTACTTCAACTTTTTACATTGTAGCCTGTTTTTTTACACTCTTCAAGGGATGCAAGTCTGGATTATAAGTGAACTGTAATGGACTTGACTTCTAGACTTTGAAATGCTTATTGCAAATATCTGTTTCTTTGAACTTGTCAGTAAGTCTTGATTGTTTTTTTTAAAAGCTATGTGTGAACTAAGGCATGTGGCAAAAAAAGTCTGTTATATCAGAATGGAGTAGACCTTTCAAAGCATGAGGAAAGTGGAACTTCTGACTTGATGAATGAGACTATCACAGTAGTTTAAGGCAGCCTAAACTCTATAAATATTCACCATTTCTCAATGCTTCATACAAAGTCAGTCTGGACCTGCACTGACCTGCACCTGGAGCTGACAAATAGTGAGTTCTAGAAGTGAAGACCTGCTACAATTGTTTTCTCAAAGCTCCCTAAATCTTTGAAATAGGGAAAGAGTGTTTGGATGCCCTCTGACTTGGTGATTTTAAGTAACAAAGGAACCCCCTTTAGAACCTGAAGCTATAAAAAAACCAAATACTACTCATGTGACTGGTTGGGCTAATATTTCTCTGTCTTCCGAAAACTGAATCAGCGTATTTAAAAAGTCCAATCTTTAATAGGAAAATAAGTCAATTTTATTCCAATAATGCTTCTGTTTTCCAATATTCTAGAGGTGAAAAACAAGCAAAAGTCCACATGAATGTTACTTAAAGCTAGTTAAAGACTTAAAGGCTTAAAAAAGCAAAATTTCATGCTTGAACTAACAGAGAGGGGAGATTCTTTCTGTACAAACTTTGACTTCACGTTGAAGGGATAGGGAGATGTTGATTCACACAAACTCAGTACACAAATCATAATAACTAAAATATTTCTCCTGAAGTCAAAATTGTCTTTAAAATTTCAGGGTTATTTGTGTCCACAAACTCCCCGTACCTTGAACATATCTCAATGTTAATATCACTTGCAAAGGAACAAAATGACTGTGCTTTGTAAACCAAACCAAAGCTAAGTGATGTGCAAACTGCAGCCCTTATGAGTTGTCCTGTGGTGCCATAAAGATACTGCATAGAACCAGAGTTGTAGGCTTCCTGCAGTCTTTGCACAGCTCAGTCATGCTGCTTCCACAGACTCTCAGGACAGATATCTTAGTTGCAAATTGCCAAACCTGTGGCAGCTGTACAGGAATTTCTAATTTGAAGGTGTGATTAGTAAACTTGGTTTAACTAACTGCTACTGCTCTTGGAGCTGTGCTGCAGGTTTTCTGGTTTGAATGGATAATGGCATCTGTCAGTGCAGACAGAATCCAGGAGTGAGCCTGCTGACTGTTCTCTAAGCTGTTCAGATGGAGGCTAGGTAGCTACTGGAACTAAGTCAAACATGTAACTTTCTATAACTGGTTTTGAAGAAGGAAAGTAGTAAGATTCCTAACTGGTCCCAAATGCTGGGCATATAAAGAACCCACAGATAAATCATTTATCAGTGTCAGAATGACTGACAAGTATAACAGCTATACTTCAAAAGGAACAAATCCAGTTCCTTTTCTTGCCTAAACAAATGGATAATAGTACTGGGGATGTAGATCTATATAACCTGTTGCATAGAGAGAAAATAAATGCACATATAAAGTATTATTCTATATCGAAGGAAAGCTACTTCATTGGATTTCTGACTTGTTGTGAGCCATTTAAATCAACAAAGCTGCACAGCAAAACTGCACTGCTAGAAAAGCCACCCTGTTCACTGAAGGGAAAGAGGGTCTTCATATGCAGTGTGCAACCAAAATGTACTAGTGAGACCACAGTCTTCCAGCATATCTACATGTTGGGATTTGTTTTCACTCATACATGCAAAAGTAATTTTTAAGTAGCTTTAACCAGCTAACATCTAAAATGCTGCTTAAATGTAGTTGCCATTAACTGAAAGTCACTTTTGACCATTGAAAAACTTTGTTTTACAGTTGGTTTGAGCTTTGTTTGGATTGTTTCTTAATCTTAAAAGGGCGTTGATGTTTGTAGTATGCATTTTCTTTTGCTGCAGTGAAAAGAAGTTGCTTGTTGAATAAAAAGGAAAGCATGAAGGCACTCCTTTCAAAAAATAGAAGATACATAGAAAAACTTCATATTTTCTGGTTCTAAACACAAATTAAGATTTGTACACTTCCATCAGGAATCTTTTTTTAACAATAGTCTCAGTGCTCCAATGCAGGGCTGATAGGTTTTACTTCTACAAATAAAACTCTTATCAGCCTGAATGGTCACTCCTCATTAAGAGTTTGACATTGTTGCACAGCATATTTAATGCTATTTTTTTTTTACCTGTTTGTTTGGTTTGCATCAGTTTCCCTTTGATATTACTAATTTTTATACAAAGTATTCAATATTTATTCTTAAACTTTGCTCTGTACCACAGAAAACAGTTGTTTTGTAAAATTTGTTTTGAATAAACAGACTTATTTCTTTTAAAAAACCTAAATAATACAGAAAAAGTAAATATCTCTTGTTGCTTTCTTTGTGACTGACAAGATCAGTTCTGATACTTCTAACTGTTGTTCCAAGTTCCCTATTACAAGAGGGCTTCAAACTGCCCCACGTTCCCCCACTGCCCCTGGTGTATGCAAAAGGCAAAATTGGGGTTCTTAAGTAAAGGGAGAGCTCACAAATTTATTTACCAAGCTTCTAGGCCTAAAGTTTATAAAATTGCCAAGTATTAGCAGATGAACCTGTTGTTATAATTTGTATGTTCTCTTCAGGCAGCCACTCCCCTGGAGATGTGTATCTGAATACATAAGATTTCAGATCATACTTTGCACCTTTGGAAAAGTAGCTGATGGTCTGGGGACCAGACATGGTATTTTTATAGGGTATAATTAAATTCAGATAATTATGATTTGTATGTCTCTTCAATTTGTCTGACATAATGTATCAAGTTAGGGTTTTTAGAAATTGAATCATTTGCATCAGGTAACTCCAGTGTATGAGACAGGGGCATAACTAAAGCATGAATTATCTAAATGATAGTGAAGAAGAGAAAAAAGGAAATGAAGTCAGGATGGTGGAATTTGGCTTCTTGCAGGGTGGGTTTTGTTGTGGGTTTTTTGTTTTCTGGAGGTTTTGTATTTAATTGTTCCCTTTGGCCTAGAAACTGCAGTTCAGCTAAAATTTGGTTTGCTTGATACTTTTTGTTGAAGTAAGTGATTTAAGTATCTGGTGCTTTAGAATGCATCATTAATAATCTTTCTTAAGATTTTGCAGAAACTTGAGCTTGCAGTTAAAAAATCCAGCAGCCCCTCAGAGATATATAGTCAAATGTGAATATTCTGAATGCCATGAGAGGATCTTTTAACACCAGGGGTTTTTGTAAATACTTGCAAGGCTTATTCTAATGACTTCTTCTCTCACATCTTGTACTTAATGCTTCTAAGAGAAAAAAAACTGGAAAAACGCCCCAACCCAAACAAAAGATAACTTATTTACTTTTCCATCTGATAGACTTGGTATAAATGCAGGGCTGTAAGCATTTCAGTGACTTTATTATTGCTAATTATTTATTAAACTTTGTGAACTTCAAAGAGGTTGTAGAGAATGTACTATAAATGCAGTAATTTGCATTCTAAGAAATAAAAAAATATAGTGGCTCATATGTGCAGCCTTACCTCCTCCTTGATGACAAGTTCTCATCACTTTCACTGGTCACCAGGACTCTGCTAGATCCTCCTTGACTGGCTTCATGCATCACTTCAATCTGATTGAGAAGGACATGTTAAAACTGAAAATACTTAAATTGCTGATGCTTTTATTAAGAGAACTTTAACTCTTTGAAAGAATAGAAACCAGATCCTATCTAACCTAGAAAGTCACTAGACAAGTTCAAATAATTGAAATCTAGATGTGCAGAAATATCTCCTATTTATATTCTCTGTCCTTGCTCAGTGTTGGCATGGAGGCATTCCTTACTCCAGGCAAAGTCATTATATTCTTGCACCACAGAAGGTGAATTATCTCCTTGTGTAGATAATTACAGGCATAATAATCTGTTCCTTAGACTCTTGAATACTATTTTTTCATTTCCTGTCTGAAGCCAACCCAAAGACTTCAGGGTCTTTGTAGAATGTCTTTGCAGAAAATGTAGAATATTTTCAGAGTTCTTGGCAGAATGTCCTGTGGAGAAATCTGTGACTCCTCCGTGTGCCTCTGAGAAGTGTCTGTGTCCCAGCAGCAGTGTTGGGTGAGGCAGTGCTGAGCACAGGTACCTGTGCAGAGCCCGTGCCCAGGCTGAAACAGAGCTTTTGCACAGCTCCAGTGTTTGTTTTGATATATACTCACACACTCCCTTGTCCAGTCTTGCAGAATTGGATCATTTCAAGTGCTCTCCAGGCAAGTTTTAAGCAGGCTTTTCCCTCCTTTTGCCTGCAGCTTTAAGAGCACCAAGCACTACTTGCACTTACTCAAAAGCCAATCTCTTCAAATTCAGTTAAACAACCCATCTGCTGAGTTTGCTGTTAATCTGAGCCAATATCTAAATCCCAGCAGGATCCAAGTTCCTGAGCACTTTAATTTTTAAGGGTTGATTCTTACATTCTATATTCTAAATTATTTAGCTGGTTGATGATATTGATGGAATCCAGTAATGAACTGTCCACATCTGAGCTATTATCAGAACAATGGGAGGAAAGGGGGGGAGTCATAATTTGCATTGTAGTCTTGGGAAGTGGATTCAAAAATTAATGAATGGATGTTTTATAAACATATACCGTGTTGCTGCATACACCTAACCACGTGGGAGGAATGCAACTGATTACATGCATTACTGATGAGAGTAAAACTGATTCTAAAGTCATTTTCTGTGAGTTTAGGCAAAGGGGAGACCACCTGTATGTTTCTGCTGATAACTGTGTTTTATTCTGTGCTTACTACTGAAGTGGGCTGTGCTGGCCATTTCAGAAAATGGACTGCATTTAATTTTTGCTTTCAGCTTTAGAGGAATAAAGATGAAATGTATAGGCAAGTCAGGGGTGTGGGTAACAGACAAGTTGGGCCAAAGTAGCTCCTCCTTATCAGACAGTTAACTTAGAAATACTCCAGGTTTATTTTAATTCCAAGTATAGGTATGTAAATCTATATTTACGAAGTTCTGAGTTCTCTCACAATATGGGATGTCCCCAAATGACAGGTAATCCTACCTTAATTCCACCTTTTGTCTTCTTAATGCTTTTCTTTTTTGATAACTCTACTTCAGAAACAGTCTTTGGAGGGCAGGAAATTTCTGTAGACCTCCTGTTGGTAGCTTAAAGAGTAAAAAAGAAATTAATATTAGAAAATATGCTAAAAGTTAAAATTTTATTTCTTATTAAAACCAATGAGCAAAGTGGTAAATGAGACCTGGCTTAGAGAACTGAGCTGTGCTGGAGCAGTGATGGACCAGGTGGAACAAGGGATGGGTTCCCTTGTTCAGTGCTGCGTTGTGTCTCAAATTGGCATCTTCAGCTCCACAGTAAGGATTACTTTGATTTGGCTTCCCCTGGGCAAACCATCCTTTGGACAGCACAGGTAAGTGTTAGCCAGCTATACCAACTTAGGTAATTGTCACTTGCGTAGTTTGTTTGTGTGGGTTCCCAGGAAATTTTGTTCTTGGTAATGGTTTGCTGATTGATGTTGGATTAAAGGATTTTTCCCTGTAAGGTTTCATTACATGAACAACTCTCAGAAGAGTAATTACAGAAGTTCAGTAAGGCACAATGACAGGTGTGTAAGGACAGAATCTGAGGATATTATTTCAGAATATGCCGTGTTCTGTCAGGTTTGGTGGCCCTTGTAGGCTCCGAGAGCTCCAGCTGACACTGAGGTGTCTGAGGCTACTGGAAAGTTATCCTTAACAACAAAACCACCTGTGCTGAGCCTGCTGTCCAAAGCAAAGGGCTAGAATGAACTGTGAGAAGGGGAATCATATACTTGGCTTGAGTAGAAAATAATATCTGATACAGCTTTATCTTTGTTTTAGATTGGTGATGAGTTCACAGCACATGCAAATACAAGGCCAACACTACTCTCCCTTTTCTTTGTTGCTGAATTGATATAGGCAGCCATTCATGTCATGGGTGAAAAACATGTATGAAAGCCAAATGAAATGCTGCAAGAATCTGGGTCAGGCAACAAGGAACAAAATTGAGGTTAAGTCCTTTTTTTCTGGCAAAACTTTCTAATTGAACAAACACTTTTTCTAAGAATAAAAGCTGGTGTTTTCAAATGCATCTGGCAACATTTTGTTAAAGAGTGTTTCACCAAGTTTAATGTTTTGAAGTGTTGAGGGTCTTGATAGTAATTTTCTTCTTTGGGAGAAGCTGAGGGATATAGTAAAAAAGATGCAGACATCTTTGAATGAGGAGGACATGATATCAAAGGTTTGATGTAGGAGAGGTCTGAATACTTTTTTAAAAGAAACACCTTAACAAAGTTTTAAGTGCCCTTGTCATTATATATTCTATTAAAGCAGTTTTAAAAAAAGGCAAAAGGAAGCACATAGAAGCACTTGAAATTATATTCAGTTAAAAAGACAACGTATCAGTTTCACAGACAGTAATAATGCTAGCTGACATTTCTTTTACCCTGTGTCTTTTCAACAGCCTTATCACACAGCTGGGAAGAGAATTAATTAAAGCTGCCTCTCTCCAACTCTTCCCTAATCTTCTTGGATTTATCCAATGCTGAATGACATAAGGACTTGGCAATGCCCATTTCATGCCTGTTACCTCCTCACAATGACTCCATACTAGAAAGTTTCCTCAATGAACAGTGAAATCTGGCAGTCACTAGCAGCTATAATTGACTAGTGGAGAATTCTTGTGGTTCCCAGGACTGAGATGAAATGCAAATGTCCCTTTTTGGCTCTTCCATCACTCTATCAGAATATACAGCAGGGGACTTGTTTGGATTTTGAGCACTACTTCCAAGAAATACTTTTTTTCCCATCCTCAGGCAGGCTTTCCCTGAAGTAGTATTTGTTCTCTCAAAGGTGCTTTTATTTCACACAAAAAGTGGTGTACTGACATTTTGGAACAGAGGGAACAAAAAGATGCAAGATGCAGCACATGGAAGCTATTGATCCTGATTGTCAAACTTCTTCATACCTTTCTAATCTGCAGGGAGGGTGACTGCTACTGTTGGCAAACCCAGAATATTTGGTAAATTTTCAAATGGGTCTTTTTATGTGTTTTCCCATGACTCCATTCTCTGAGTAAAGTGTCTATATGCATCAGCAAATTCACCCTTTTTTTGTATTGATAAACCCTGGAAATTCTATTTAGCCAAGAAGTCTCACCTACCATGATCATTACAAAATAGGATGTGGTCAGACCTACTACACTAAAAACTATTACCTTCTGGAGCTTCTCCCAACTATATGCTATTTATACCTTGAAAAATCAGCATGAAGAAAACAGATATAAGACTTGGCCACCAGGACATTGTTTCATAATCTGACCCACACCTGAATACCCTAGATACGCTGCCAGTGTTTAGTTGCCCTCTCTAAATCTGTGTTCAGTTCACTAGATTGCTCTACAATCTAATCAAATTTTTATGGATATGTCATGGAAATAAAGGGAAACAATGAAAATAACTTCAGAAAACATGAGGACTTTTGCTTAGAAGACTGTAGTCAGCAATACCAAGCTGTTTGGCTTATTCATTAATCAGAAAATTTCGTAGCTTGAAGGGATGGTTGATACTGATATGAAAACCCTTGCTGAAAGCAATCAGCAGAAAAAGTGGAAATCAATTACATCAAAAACTTTGATGTACGGATCACAATTTACAAGCTGAGAAAGCTCCAAGTGATTCAGGAAAGAGAGCATAGGGCAGTTTAAATGAAAGATGACATTCACAAGAAGCCAAACTGCAGGTGCTCCTTGATCCAGTAGCAAATTACTCAGGTCAGTTCACAATTTGAGTCTTGGCTTCTTCAGTGTGATATATTTCAGAAAAGGAGACAGGTACAAGATAAGAAAGCCTTCAAATTCAGCTGAATTGATTCATATTGACCCAGAGAACTTCCCTTTCCAATTTGACCCAGAAATGAACTGAAAATAGGAAACAAGCTGCTTTGGTTATGATTTGGAGAATTTTTCAGTTATTGACTAGCCCATAGTCAGAGACTGCTACATATCACGGCATTTAAGTAGTTTCTGGAGCAGGACAGAAAGAAACAGCCAAAATACCTGCCAATTATTATTGCACTAATTACTGTGGAACTGGAAATATAAGGGAAACTCCCTTACAAAATTCAGTTGGCTGTTTCAAGGTCAGTACAGTCTTGTCTTGCTGAAGAAGCTGAAAATTATAGTGTTGAGCTGCCTATTGAAAGAATAAAGGCACAGGAACAAAGGAAAACTAGAAATGATCTAATGTCTGCATGGTTTCTAGGTTGTTTTCATCCTGTTGTTTCACAGTACTCCCCTGGATGATACATAATGATGATTTCATTTTGAATTCATTAATATTTTAAATTGCTTGATGCTGCTTTTAAAGAAAATATTGTCAAAGGGCATGGTAAAGCAACATTTGGGTCTGTCACTTGCATTCACCTGGAGCACCATTACACTTTTCCAATGGGGCTTTAGTACTGCTTACTGGTTTTTTATGAACAAGTTGCATGAAAAGAATGGAATCACTGTTGCATTATTTAGCCTACAGCAAAGGGTAAATGGGCTGTGCTATCCCTACAGCTGCGAGAAAATGACAGAGACTCGTGTGCTCCGTTTTACTTTGCAGTCTCTCCACCCCTATAAAACTGAAATAAACTAAGTGAGGAAAACTTGCTGGGCTGCTTGTTAGAAAAAGCTGTGGTTTCACCATTTCCCTCCCTGCTCCTGCGTGGCAGGACCCAGGCGCCATCTCTCAGGTGCTGATCTCTTACAGAGGGGGCTGCATCCCCCACTGAGGGACAGACAGAACTGTGGGCAGCTCCCAGGTGCTCAGAGACAGCTGGGTTAGTTCACCTGGGTGAGTGACTAAGTTAGCTGCTGCTAGAATAAATGTAACTCATTAGCTAGCAAAAGACACAGGCCATAGTCAAGGGTTATGATACATACTCACCACCTGTAAGATTTTCCAACCCCCCCTGAAGTAAATGTCACACTTCACATTCAGGTTTGGGGGGAATTCCCACATCACATGTTTTTCCATCTGTTTTCCGTATGGGTTTGTGCATTCTCACTAATCATCTACAGCAGAATCAATTTCTTTTGGCAAGAACAAGCATGGAAATAACTAGTCTGCTAAACTTTATTGGGGCTTGCTGCTCATGCTGTCCAACAGGAACATGAGTTTGAAGATAATTAGTGGCTTAATTGCTGTTTTGAATGCTGGTGATGACAAAACAGTGTTTAGGCAACTAAAGAAACACCAGAGCAGCTATGGTTTGTCACTTAATGGCTTAGGACAGAAAGACTTTGCCATTCTTTGGCAATATAATTTAGACTTCTTTGCTCTAGAAAAATTTCTGTCAAGTCTCCTGAAAATCTCCTGGTATAAGAAGCACAGAACGAGGAATACTCTTGTACAAGGAATCACTACTTGGTTTCCTCAGACTGGCCCAAGTGTAATAGCAGTCCCACAACTAAAAAACTGAAACTTCAATTATAGAAATATACTGAACCATAGAAACTAGTGGTTTCTCAAACCATTCATGAAAGTGACATGCACCATCTCTTCTGAGTCAGCTGATCTCTCCACAGCCTCACTTCCCCTGCACACATCCCCAGACTCTTGCAAGAAATTCTTCCTTTATCCTCTGTCCAGATGTTATTAGTTAGTGAGTGTTATGCACTAGTGACTGTGAGGAATTCTGGATCGGATCCAATGAGCAGTTGTATACATTTAACTGAGATGGAACCAGCTTAAATTTTATTATTTAAAGAACTGAAGAGGCTCCAGCCGTGTTCCCCCCTTATGAATCTTGTGTTCCAAGCTGGCCTTCTAAGATGCTTGTATGGTGAGTCATGGATTTTGTATGTGCAATGTGCTCTTAAACATGTTATTTGTTTAACAAGCTCACAGAAATTTTGACATCTCTGCTCCTGTATTTCACATTTATGTTGCACACAAAGAGCTCTCCAGGTGAATATTTTATAGCACTTTTTGCTGCCATGTTCCAACTTTTGCCAGAAAGGTAACTAAAGCAAGACATTTTTCCTAACCACAGTCATTGAGATGGCCAAATCATCTTTTACAGAAATTTTCCAAGAGCGTGTGAGGCTGAAGGAATAGCCTTTGGGAAAGTTTCATTTCAAAGAGTAAGAGTTTGGGAGAATTACAAGCAAATTAAAATAGATAAATGCTAACTGCAGTGATTTCTAATAGCTTGTATTATCCTTTACAGTTCTGTAGTTCATCTCATTGTGCCTGACAGACTCTGTGGTTTGACTCTGTGGACCTATTCTAATTCACTCCATGCTTAAGAGTTTTGCACAGAAATGCAGAGAACAAACATGTAGTCAAATAATAAAAAAATTATGCCTTCAGAAGTGAATCAGAGCAAAAATATTTCCCTATCAAGTGCCACTTCTTTCCTCCCAACAGACATAGGGTCAAATGTAGCCGTTCAGCAGTATTCAAGCAGCTTCCATTGGGAGAAAACAGAATTCTCCTTAAAATAAGGTGTCATACATGCTACTTAAATATTTTCAAGGCTCTTATCATAAAAAGGTCAACAGAGTTTTCTGCCTTTTCAGGGTTGATCTGACAATAATATTTAATCAAGTTCTCACAGCTAAAACATGCATCAAATACAGCTGGCACAGACTTTTCAGCATTATAATAATTCCAGAACTAGTACTTCAGTCTTGAACGAGCCTGTCCCACAAAATATAGAAGTCCACTTGTAAAACCAGAAGCATCGAGCAAAACTGAGAATAATCTAAAACTTTACTTCAGAGTTTCCAGACCCATAGAAAAGTGTTGACTGAAGGAAAGTCAACTCAATTGCCTTTCTTAACCTTCACTAAGCTAAAAGATTGCTGAGATTCACCAGAAGCCATAAGAATATGGACATGAAACTGTGACAGTCATTTCCCCAACAGAAACCTGCTTTTTCTCTCAGACATGGTATCAGCTGTGCCTGTGTGCAGAAAATCCATCTTTGCCTATGTATTTGTCCATGTAAAATGGAAAGACTGACAGTTACAATAATGGAGTATTTAATGTCTGAGCCTCCATATCTGTGAAGATTTTTCCATTAGCACCCTGAATTGGACTGAATTTTCCCTACTGATCCCTGTTAGGAAAATGGATAGTCAGCAAGGAAGAACAAAACAAAATCTATTCTGGAACAAATGTAACTTCTTTTCCTTTCACAGACCAACCACCCCAGTGCTGCCATGGTATTGTTACTCTGCTGCCTGGGGACAAAAGCCTTTCTTTCTGGTCTTCTATTTCTGTTTACCACATTTTATTGCCTTTGCTTGCCTTTGTATTTACACAGTCTAGGAACATGGTATTTCCCTGTTGTTACATTCTACTTTGCAAGCATTCAGGTATGTCCTGGGTAACAAATGAAAAATGAGTTACAAAACCTGTTTTGAGAAGGTGCTCTAAGCCTCTCTCAGGTTTTCAAGATGTTGCTCAATAAATTCTCCCCATAAGTAAGTGCTGATAGTGCATTGATGCCATAAATGTGAAGAAAGGACACAGAGGAAAGTCCAAAAGAGGGTAGCTTCAAGAAGAGCAGAATTTCACAGCCTCATTTTAAGCCTTGGAGTAGGACTCAGTGTCCCTGTTTCTATTCTCAGACACGTTTCAGCGTAAGACTGTGAAACATCTTGGTGAATTCCTCGGTTTATCTGTGCTTCAGTTTTATTTCTGAAAAACAGAGGTTAAAAACCTACCAGTACTTCCCAAGTGCTTTGGCATTCTGAGGGAAAGGGCCTATACACGTACTGTTCATGGCTGTTAAAGTCACTGACTGTGAGTCCCTGGATGAGCTGTAGGTACTTGTAGATAGGCACTTCTGAGGTACTCTCGGTCAGTCACCTTCAAGAATCTGAATGAAATGGCAGTCTGCTTATCAATGTCTGAACAGGACTGGGTTGCACTTTGCACCTCCTCACAACCGAAGCAGCATTTAAAAATAAATTTCACCTACCTATTATTTTGCAACAGGACATTAAAGGCTAAGCCTTGTCACGGAGTTACCCTATATGGGGTTGTATAATCATGAACTGTAATTCAAGGGACAGAGGAAGGGAGCATCTCATGACTCTGAAAGAGCTGATAGTATGTGGGATGGGCTGTATGAACAAGAATCAACTTAGAGCACTGTCATAACCTAGTGACTGTTCTATAAGGTTCTATCTATATCAACAATTTAATTTAAAAATCTGCAACTGTGCTAAAATGACAAGAAAGAAGTTTGGGAAACAGTTCAAGAGACTGCATGCATAAACAGAATGGCAAGATTAGTTTTTAGCCTGAAGATGCAGTTTCACAGTAGGTGAAAGCCATCCTAAAACTGTGCTGCCAGTGACAGGAACTAACTGGCTCTGACCTACTGACCCATAACCCCATTTTCTGCAATTTCCTTTGCTTGAGCACTTGTGGCCATGCAGGGAGCAATCTGATGAACTCTGACATTAGTGCTGCTTGGAGCAGGTGACTGGGCTGTGTGATCTCCAGAGCTCCCTGCACTTCTCTAACTCGTGCAATGGAAAAAGAATTACTACAGTTCTGCAGTCTGTTTATTCAGTTTTCAAGGCAAATCACAACTCCAGCAAACTGACTGCCCCAGTGCAAGAGGGGAGTGCAGTGCTGGAGGATGTATGTGCGGCACAGCAGGACCTCTTCACAGGCATTGTGTTCTCAGCTCGCCTTAAACCAAAAGAGAAGCTGAAACTTGAGGTAGGAACTGTGTATGAGAAACACAGATAACATGGTTTAGGGAAAAAATGTACAGATGTCAAACCAGCATGGGAACGAGAAGAGGATGATTTTCCTTTGGAAGAAGGGATGAATATTGAGGAACAGTATTGGTGTGACTGTGCTTGTATGCCTAGAAAGCAAAATTGTCAGGCTACTGGCCATCTTCCTGTTGGGAAAGCAGTTTATTGAATGCTCTTCATGCAAGTTAGAGGGGTTTTTTTAAGGCTTTTTGCTACAGGTTTCCCTTTTGAACAGCCCTAAGGGTTCCAAAGGGACAGCCCTTTCCTGCCCCCTGCCCCCTGCACCCCATGGGGTGGCTGGTATACAGGATACACTGTTTCAAATTAGCTTCACCCATGTTCCTTTTGCAGAAAAGAGCTATCTTGGTTAAATGCACACGCTAACCTCAAATCAGGAACTTTCAGTAATTTCCAAACAAGCAATGCTCAGCTTCTATGGTTAGCAGGGGACAAGGTAGAAAGTGAACTAACATCTAAGTAGAGGGGGAAAAACAAAAATTCCACAAATGAATCAGTGTTACTCACTCATGAACCCTTAATTTTGCAGATATCTGATTGAAACCTGAGGAATTATTACACTTGAAAGGCAAATATTCACATTACATTATTTGCAGTGTAGAAGAGGTTCTTATTGCAAGCTTGCATTGACCACCCTGGCTTGGGTATTTGAGAATTAGTAATACATGACACACTGAGACACAGTATAGAGATGTACTCTGTAGATCAGATTTAGGAAGAGAAACCTGGTAGGTTTTTTGGTTCACCCTTGCTGCAGTGAGAGATATTTCATATTCATTTTTACTAGCTGAACCTACAAGGCTGACACTGCACATCAAATTCAAATGATCATTCTGAGAACAAAAATCAAACATGACCATGTGGACAAAACATTGGTGTGAGTCTGAAAGCAGCTGCACATGGCCTACCTACTGCTGCTGGTCTGGTAATCTTTGGTGATGCTCGCTTTGGGGAAGATTCAGGATGTGGAGCAACAGGTTGTACTGGCCGAGTCTGTTTGGCTGCCAGCTTCTTCAGGCTTACTTGCCTCTTGTCAAACATTTCTTGTACATCTTCGAGTTTTTGTACAATTCTTTGGGCATTGGCCTTGACAAAGAAAAGGCAAACACAAATGGTTGTCAGCACTGGACTGAGCAAGTGAAGAAAGGACTTGTATTACCAGACTCAGACTAGAGCTGGAGATCATCACACTGTGCTGCAGTTTACTGCAGCCCAGTCCAGGCATTCTGCCCAGATCAGTTTCACTCTGCCCAGATCAGAATCACTCATGGTGATTCAAGCAGTGTTTCTAGCACTGCTCTGAAGAAAATGACATATGTGTTGCATGACTACTCTTATGAGTAAAGCTGACTGCCACAAATACTGACCTCTGTGCCCTTTTAGAGTAGGGAAAGAGGCATATTTTAGCAGAATCAAGTATAGTTCAGTACACTCTCATGGACAAAGCTATTGGAAATTTTTAACTTCTAAGTGAGCACATCTGAGGGGTTCTACCTTTATTTCAGGGGTGAGGATCATGTCAAACTGATTGTAGAACTCCTTTGGGTTGGAGAGCTGGTGTTCCTTAGCTGTTACCAAGAACTTCTCAATTTCAACGAGTGCAGTTTCAGCTCCCTCTTGTGACTGGCACTTGTCCACAGCTTGGGAAGCTAAGAGGTAGATTCCAGCTTCGCACCATTGGCTTGCCTTTAAAGAAAAGTAGGGGAAGATGGACTTATCATCACTGAAAATCCAGGTTGCCAGGTGTTGCTTTGACACTATGAAAAACAGATTTGCCCTAGCATATCATTTAAGGGGATCAGTGTTACTCATACCATGCAGCAGTTCCTGCCCACAAGTCACCCCATCAGCATATGCAGAACTGAACTTGCTGAACTAATGCAGAGCTCTGATATTCACGGTAACATTTACTGAATGAAATGGAGAAAAACCAAACTCAACTTTTTATCTTCATCGTAATTACCTGAGCTTAGAAAGCCCTTCATTTTTAGTAGAACCTTACCAGAGATGTTATCTGAGAAGGTTTGCTCACCTTATCTAACTGCTTATGCAGCTCAAGAGACTTTCCCAAAATATCATACTTTTTCTTGGTCTCATTGGTAAAGTCATCACAAATCCGCCTGAGTTCAACACACTTTGGTCTAATGGAGTCAACTGCATAATGGTTGTTTTGGATGAGCTGTTCTCCATGGAGAGCTAAAGACTGGGCCTTCTCCAAAGGTTCCTGTGAAATTAATGAGAAAAAGCCTCAGTTAGAATGGCATGCATATTAAGGACAATCCATCTTTGTAACTCTTCCTGTAGCCTGGTGGTAAGTAAAGGTTTGGAATATTAATATAGCTGATATGTCTTACTTTATATTTACATTGAAGGCCAACCTCAATGTCAATGAGTACATTGAAACTCGAGAGCTTCCATTTGGACATCAGGAAGTACTTTTTTGTTCTGAGGGTGACCAAACACTGGAACAGGTTGCCTGCTGAAGTTATGGAGTCCACTTCTTCTTTCTCCAATACTGAAGACATCATTATACAAGGTTTTTCCCTACTTTTTCCCCTAGCTTTCCAAGTAATAAAATGGAACTACTGGGTCTGAACAACCTTGGCTTCTGGAAATTACAATCTGTGTTTTGCAATTTAAAGTAATGACTTGTGAGACAAAGTCTGGACAAAAAAAAAGGACAGTGACAAAGAAGTGTCTAGAATACCATGTCTATACCAGCTAGAATACTAAATTGATTGCAAACCTGTCCTTTCTCTTCCAGATGTTTCTGTTCCTTTAGAAGGTTCTCGACTCGAGTCACACTGTCTCCAATGTCAACAAAACCTGCTTGTGTTTCCATGAGGTTATCCAATGTCAATTTTACCTAAAAAACAGCAACAACAAAAACATAAAACCAAAACAAAATAACCCCACCCAAACCCCATAACAAGATACTAATAAAAATTACAACAAATATTCACCTGCACCATTGAGAAGAGTCTGCATCTCAAGTTCAGTCTTTCAGCTTGTTCCAAAATGGAAAAGCCAAGGAATAAATCAATCAAATATTTTTCAAAGAGTCTCCCTGGTTCTCACTAATTAGGCCCACAAAGTTTTGACAATCTGTAACTCCAGAGTTTATGTTACTCCAGAATATGTATTACTCCAGTCTCTGGGCTGACAATTGGCCCTTCTGAACCGTATTCCCTTTACTCTGGTGGGATTGGAAAATTACCATCACAGAAGAATCTGTTTTTGATAACTTCACACCTAAATGCAAAATTATTTATCAAAATGTTGGTGTTCCACATTTTGGACTCACAGTCTGGCACTTTCCTCACTGTGTTCTATTCAAGTCTTGTAAGACATCTGAAAGCTGTCTTTGTCAAGACTTTAATTTTTGAATATTCATTTCCTATTTCACAATTAACATCTTCTCTTCCAACCTCCTTTTTGTACTGCCAGTATTCTCTAAGTATGGGTAGAATTTGACCTTATTTACAAGAGAAGGCTAGGCAGCATGAACAAAGAAATACCTCTCTAAAATCGTGTTCAAAGTGTCGAAGCTGCAGGCACTGTTCTAGTTTTAGATGATGCTTGGTCCAAAATTGATCAAAAGCTTTTTCTGTTTCATCCAACTGAGCCAACAACCTGTTAAGAAATTATAATGAACAGAATGTACTTATTTCCTATAGTTCACTTCTTTTAAGTTACAGTAATTGATGGCAGAAGGCAGAGCAGGGAGATGTTGAGGAGCCCTACACTTATGTTAGAGGGTTCTGTGTCAACTCTCCCTTAAGCAAAAGAGAGTAGGACAGGCAGGAATGTGACAGGTGAGTGACAACTACATGGAACTATTGTGGCAGTTACAGTCCTGCCTCCTGATGTGCAAGAGGGACTCAGAGCTGTTCCATGTGCTGGCAGCCAAGGGCCGCTGTCACTCCCTAATTTCCACCCAATGCTTCAAAGATAATTCATCCCCAACTGATGCAGATTGAATATGATGCAATTATTATTATATGGAAGGATTAAAGCAGAACTCTACAACTTGTTAATTTTCTTCACCCATCAAAAATAGGCAAGGACTGAATCATTTTTCCCAGTCCATTAAAAACAATAGATTAGAAACTCATAATGACTCCTATGGACAATGTTTTACTCTGTATAAATGATGAAACATTTATTTGCAAAGACATTAATCTCAAGGTGTCATATCTTCAGTAAAATACCTGACACCAGACTAGTGAGTCATCCTCACAGTTTCTCAATGATTCATTAATTACAAAGTAGAACAGTTTTAAACAAGTAGAAAAAATGAAAAGGAAGTGTTCTCTGAATATCTTGTATTTCAATAGATGGGCATTCTTTGGGCAGATAAAGGATCAGTGAGTGCTGAAATCATCAAGTTATTGGGGCAAATGCCAATACCTCCTTCCTATTCTTCTCAAAACCAAATTTCTGTTTTCAATCTGCCCCTGGAAAACTTTTTTTTAATCAAAGCTAGTCATTGAATTCAAGATGAATTCACAAATTCCTTTGGAATGACTTTTCAAAGGATTTTAAAATATTCGGTGAAAAATATCAGCTCAGCTTTACTTTTAGCACCTTTGTTCCCAGTGAATTCAGACATGCTGAAACCCCAGCATGGCATTTCCCCTTGCACTGCATCACATGGCACAGCAGAAACTGCTACATGGTGACAAAAAGCTTTATGGTAATAACTAGCATTGTAGGAAGGGAAAGGGGGTTCTCTCTGGGTGTATCTCTGCAGCTGTGACACACACAATGTTTCAGGTATCATCTTCATCTGTTCCTCCCCCAGTGTTTCCACAGACATCCACAAGCACACCACCCTCTCATCTCACAGAGATTCAGGTGCCACTTTCTAACCAGACACGAAAGTTTGGAAGCCATACATGTTATGGGGAAAGTGAGTCCCATGTTCAGTCTTCAGCCAGATAGTGGTCTGACCAAAAATTACCAAGAAATTCAGGACTTATTTGAACTTGCCTTGACAATTTAATCAAGGAATATCCTCTAAGCCATTCCCTTCTCTGACTTACCTGTCCAATAAATCCTGAGTAGGTAAACCAGGGGTAATTTATATCCTGCATAGTTAAGTTATTTAAATTACACTTGCATCTCTTAGGAGTAAATTAGCAAGTTGCACAAGGTAATCTAGCTCCACTGACCTTTCCACTGTGGCCACATTTTCCAGTTCATCTGGACTGAGTTTGCTGTTGGCACTTCGGGTGACTGGCTCCCGGATGCATGTCAGTAAGGTGGCCCCCTGCTTCACTGCTAGCTTCAGCTCATCCTGAGGGAAAAAAAAAAAGCCAAAAACCAAATTGTATCTACTTCTAACAGCACTCACATCTCTTAGATAACAACAGATTAATCGAAAAGGAGGATACTTTCATAAGTACAAAATACTTGAAACAAAATATAAAGGCTTACCAAAGGTGGTATGTTTTGCTAGCAAATGCAGAGACCTAAATCTTTTAAATTTAACTGAGAAAAGGAATAGAGAAATTTCTGAGCAGATTGCATATCTGACCAGGCCACTTGAAAAATAAATTACTCTACACAAATTGAATGTATGCTGTAGATTGTGAGCCGAAAGACTGGGCTGAGACATTGCACTTCCTAATGGAATTTCCTCAAAGAACATTGTGCCGTGCTGAGCCATAGCGTACCAGCTATAAGCAGTCATCCACAGAAGTGCTTTCCCAGCATGAAAGATGAGCAATAAAAAGACGATGAGGCTCAAACATTAACTTGTCAGATGATGAATCCCCCACTGCACACTTCTTCCATAAAAATTGCTGTTGTGCTAATATAGCTTAAGTAGTATTTTTTATCTTGTGTTTAATCTATGGCATTCGTTGACAGCAGTAATATTTACTTCTGATCCTTACTCTGCACAGCTAAACTAGCCCCAAATTTTTTTTAAACAAAACAACAGTCATAATCTAGTTAGATCATTCTGTCAGTTCCTGACTATCCTCACAGATGTTGTGCTTCTGCTCCAATGTAAGTCCATCCTTTCTGATTAACTCTTCATCAGGAGCCCATGCTATTCCAGATGTGATCCCATTCCTCCCTCTCACACAGTGGAAGTGACACTTCCCCATTCTATCATTCCTGAAGTTGTAAAATGTCCTTTTCCACAGCTGAATCAAATTGACCTCCTGAACCCAGCTGTCTGTCCTCCTCAGTGCTTTCCAGACAATGGACTGCCAAGTGATGGCAGAGAATTTTGTTAGATCAGAACTCATCTATTACACTGCTGGATGTCCTGTCCATCATGGGGCAACAATCACCTTCAGCTTGCCGTGGTGCTCAGTGTGTGAAGAGAGAAGCTCCTCTGTGCACTGCACATCGTTGGGAAGTTCAGTCTCTGCTAAGTCTGTTCCAAAGGTCTGTAGCATCTGTGCTGTTGTTTTTACTGTCATTGCAAAGTTTTCAATAGCCTGGAAAAGCAAAAGCATAAAGTCACAGATTGGTTATTTACCCATAGCCCTTTAACAGCACTTCGTGCTTCGTATTGCATGCCTGTAAAGCTGGTCACGTTGCCTTTTTTTGGGTGGATGTGCTACAAGTCACAAATTAAACCATGTATCACAAATGACCTTTTCACAGGTCTGCACATATTGTCAGCTCCGTGAGCCAACGGGGAACTCCAAGAGCTCAGCAGACATAATGAAATCACAGAAGATATCAGCTTCAAAGCCAGGCCTGGAACTTCAGATCCTCAGCCCATGCTTGATGGGAAATTCTGCTGCTTTTAAAATTTTATTAAGGCTTTATTTAAGTTGAGAACACTACTAAAATATATAGGGCAAAGTCATTATATTTATACAGCCATTGTTCACTCAGCAGTAATCTGTCTTTCCCTGACTTCTATATATGTGCATCTCCATCTTGACTATCAGTATGAGATGCATTCTAGTCCCTTCCTCCCATCTGTCCCTGCTAGTTCACAAACACAAGAACAAGTAACTACAAATACAGTAAAAATGCATAAATTCATCAGAACATTGTTGTTCCTTTATCACTTGGGTGCACCAACACAAAACTTGTCAGAAATCTGTGGTTTTAATGAAGAACAGGTTAAGTGAGGAAGGCTAAAAATACCAATGCCACCTTCTCAGAGCAGAATATAATGTTCAGACCTGTGATATGTGATTAAAACCTTTATATCTAGTATCAAGTAACTGCATGGGAAGTTTTTCACGATCATGCCCAAATTTTGGTGTGACCGTATTGTTCTGTATAGCTCTTTATTCTTTGTACTTTTTGATCTATACCCCCACTGGTCTGAGTCAGTCAACAAGCTCTAGGGATGCTCTTACACCCAATCAAACACTATGCAGTTGTTGCACATTGCATTCCTTTCTCCAGCAATGATGGGAATTCACTGTTTGCAACCATGACAGATGAAATTACACTGTGTGCTGGGAAAAACAAATTGGAGGTAAATCACCATTCAAAAGGTAAAGAGAGAAATTAGCCCAGATTTGTGATCTCAAACATGCCCCCCATGAAGCAGTGCTAGCAGAGTTCACAGCCTTCTTCCCTTTTCCCCCAGAAATTCATGTCTGCTTTCAACACAAGCAGTACAGACCCACATATGCTCTATCTCAGTGCTCTGCAGCTGTATCCTGCGGTTCTCAGCACTGAAACTACTGGATTAGAGTTGGCTGAAATGTCACACTTCTGACTGCAACACAAACATGGCCATCCATGACCAAAGGCCATTTACTGAAAGCCAAAATGCACTCTGTGGGCAAGAAAGTCCATGGGCTTCTGGCAGCCAAGAGAGGAGAGCAGAAACAGTGAACAATGCAAGGAGGTTGCTGTGTCACTGCCATTTGGCCAGAGTTTAAAACTTTTTCAGAAGAAAAGCACTAGCAGGATGAGATATGAGAACACTGAGAAAAGCAGCAAATGGCATGAAGACCATAGCTCAGCAAGACTGGAAAGACAGATTGTTTCAAGGTGCCATGGAAGCTGACACTTTCCTGATGACAACCTCTTATCCAGCAGATATTCCTTGGCTGACTGCCCCATGAACTTGTCACTGTTTCACTCAATAGCATGCTTGCCCCCAACTCTCTCCTGTGTATATGTGAATTATTTCATGTACCTAAGTTATATCTCTGGATTATTTTTTTTCAAGTCTCTGTGTCTGGTAAAAAAATTTTCCAACAAATTTAACCAAAACCTCTGGGGATTACATAGCCTTATACCCCTAAGTTCTTGGCTCATTTTTGTTTGCATATTTTACCAAACAATGTATTATCACTTTATGTAAACCTCTGTCATTAATAAATAATACAGCCTTTCTTGTGCCTCTTTTTATCTCCCTTCATATTTTCAAACCTTTTGCTCTTTGGAAGCTCTTATAGATGATTCATTTCTTCACACTCCTCCTTCCTGCAAGGACAGTTTCATATTTTTGATACTTTTGACACATAAGCCTGTTCACTCATCTCAACCCTAACCTCATTATAGTCAACACAGTTATAAATGTAGAAAATCAATGTTAGAAGAAATTCAGATTCTGTGTTTGCATATTTAGAAGCCTGAAATATTTGGTGGGTCTCAAGGAGACTAAAATTTAATTTTATAAGGACAGCAAAGCACAAAAAAACTATAGCAAGAAAGTGACAAAAGTGGTTTGACTTTTGTCAAATATTTTGACATAAAAGGAGAAAAGCTCTTTTTATGGGTTAGATGTAACCTACCCATGAGCAACAACAGACTCAAACCCAGGGCTGCTCAGAACTTTGCAAACCATTCAGGCTCACATCAGATTTGGGATGTAATATACCAATCTTACAAGTAGAAACATTGTATAAATTCTCTGTGAAATTAATTACTTTTCCAGGATCATGACCCAGCTTAGCCCATTTTTGCTTAGGAAGAATGAGATGGTATTTTGTCTGCTAATGTACCAGAGTCTGGAGTCTGGTTTTTGTGAACTGTCATCTTAACTGGGCACCGTAATGAATTGTTTATATTGTTTTGAAGCAGACACAGAAATGCATTAACCAGCCCAAAAAGGGAACAATCAAACCTGTACAGGCTTCCTCCATAGAATAAAAAAGTCTTTCTGCCTTCCTACTGACAACTGTTCTTCAGTTAGCCAAAATAAGACCTAGCTGGAGTGCATGTTTGTATAGCATAGAAATGAAAAATAAAATATAGTGCCCTGAGTATTTTTATTCTCTTAAAAGCATGGATAGAATTAATCATTAAAGTGAGACTTTTGACCTTATTTTGACCTTTGTAAAGTCAGCAAAGTGCTACAGCCTACTTTCAATTTCAGCTGAAACCTATGAAACCTATGAATCCCATCAGTTATTTAAAAGGCAAGAGAATGTGCCCACAGGCCTTGCTGAGTAAGAATACCAGGACACTGTTAGGCCCTTGGCCAGGTATGCAGTGAGATACAATTACTGCTCCCATGACAAACTGCTGGGAATTTGCTTTTCTCTGTTTGAGCCATGGATTTCCTCTTTCCCTGAGTCCCTATCAGAGTCCATAGGCTGCAATGTAGCTGAAAAGTTACTGCCTAATGGTTCCTTTGCATTTGTCACCTGGACAGCTCTGGTGCAGATGTGCAAGAAGAGCCCCAGCACTCACAGTTCGGTGATGGATCCACTGGCTGTGGCCGTACTCCAGGGTTCCTCCCAGCTCCCGGGTCAGCTGACTCTTGTCAATGTAGCCATGCAGATCAGAGACAGAATTTAACATGATGATCTGAAACAAATCCAAACACACTGGACTGAGAGAAACGAGCATTTCAATCATTGTTCCTAGGATCTGGGTGTGCCCTAACATATATGACCACTGCAGTTCTACCAGAGGCCATCAGTTCTCATTTTGCATTTTCTCATGCCACAGCCACAGTTTACTTTCCCTAGATTTTGCCTTCTCAATGTGTACACGGATCTTCTTGAACTAACTTTGGTTTGACATCATCTTCCTCCTTGCTGGGCTGAATCATTTTGCCTGTGCATCAAGAGCAAAAGTATGGTATTGATAATGCTCACACAAACTTTCATAAAATAATTTATTCTCTAAATAACTTTTATTTACAGAGAAATGGAGGGACAGGGAAGTTAAACAGCTTCCTCAACACCAACCGCTTGATCCAGGGAAGTGCTGAAATGAAACCGTGGAGAGTAAGATTTTTCTTTCTGTTTTCTGACTTTTTTTGTCACTGCATGTTCACTGAATTCGCTGAAATTTTTCCATTTAAAATCATAATGGAAGAGAAAGGAGAGATAAACCTAGATCCATTTTTTTACTTTAGAATCTCCTTACCACAAGACTTGCTTGAAGAAAGCCAAATATGATTTGAGTTCAGCTTCAGATAAGCAGCAGTACCTTTTGGCAACCACTGTAAATTTGTCAACACAAGTGGTTACATAAATAACACACATTTATTGTTGTTCCAAAAGCTAGAAGATATGCCATGATTTTAGCAACAGAAGAATTAAAAGTTGAGCACAAATGACTAAGAATTTTAAATAAATGTCAGAAATATATCAAATGTGTTACTTGACCCTATTTAAAGAAAGCTTAAGTGGTTCTGCATGTCAGCAGGCTCCAACGGAGCATGGTAAGTGCACTGGCAAACACTGTGGACAAGATGAGTGCAGATGTATGGAGACAAGAGGATGCATATTCCAGACTAGGACTGCTCTAAGAAAAGCCTTGAGAACAAACCTGAACAGGTTTTTAGCTGACCTTTGTTACAGATAATTCAGGTTGGCAGGAACCTCAGCTCTCTACTCCAATTTTTTTCTCAAAGCTGTGTCAGCTGAGATCAAACCAGGTTGCTCAGGGCTTTATCCATCTGAGATTTAAAAACATCCAAGGACTGAGATTGTACAACCTCTTTGGGCAGTTTGGTCTGCTGCCTGTCTTTGTGGAGAGAAATGTCAAGTCAGAGCTGCACTTGTTTCACTCTGTGTCAGTTATTTCTTGTCCTACCATCATGCACAAGCTGGCTGCAGTGCCCAGCTTGGAGGGACTGGAAAGCTGCTGCTGTGTCATACTAACCCTCCTAAGCCTTCCCTTTTCCATGTAAGACAAGCACAGTCCCCTCAGCATCTTCTTACAGAACACATTCTGCAAGTCCTGACCTTCTTGGCTCTCCAAGATTACTCCAGATAAATATTTTCCTTGTACTAGGGGAACCAAAGATAAAGAGGGTGTTCTCAGTGTGATTTAATTGGAGACAAGTGAAGGGGGACAAGTGCTTGTCCCAGCCTGTTGCCTCTGCTCTTGTTCATACTGCTCCTGTTAATGCAGGATGCTGATGGCTTCCTTTGCTGCCAGAGCACACTCTGGCTCATGTACAGCTTGCTGTCTACCAAGCTCCCAGGTCCTTTTCTGCAGAGATGCCCCCCAGATAGTCAGGCTACACTGTGAATTGTTGTCAACAACACAGCTGTTACGTTGTTGGCAGGGAAGAACATAAGTTCTTTCTTGGGGAAGAAAATCCTTCTGCAAGGAAACTCTTTCCCAGTTGTAGGAAAGCCCCTTTTGTATATATAAAATAATATGCTGTTCAGTCCATTCCTTGAGTTTCTGTTCCAGTGGCCCTGTCTTGGAGTATACCACCTGTTCCTCCTGTCTGCACACTTGGTGCCAGTGCAGCCTGTTGCCTCTTCCATGTCACTGATAAAGGCATCAAACAGGGCAGGTCCCAGCAGGTACCACTACAACACTCCACTTGTTGCCCACTTCCAGGCAGAGTATGACCCATTACCATTACCCTCCTAACCATCATGAAAATAGTTCTTAAAACCATCTATCCAGATTTTAACCTAACTTGGATAAAAGAATATAGTGGAGGATGCATCTGGCCCCAGGGACCTGTACAGGCTGAAAACTCTCAAGTAGGCCTTCATTTTATTCTTTTTCACTTCTAGTAGTTCCTCTTCTCCTTGACCCCTGTCTTTAAACACAGAAATGAGATCTTGTTGGTGAAGAAACTATGGGAAAGAAAGGTGAGTATCTCACACAAAGTTAAAGGAAAAACTGTTCCCTGAATGTGTTATGAAACACTGTTCTGCTATGATCAAAGCCAGAAAGCTCAAAAAGCTGCATCATCTTGAAAGGGTCTCACACTGGAACATAAAGTCTAAGTACTAATTCTGAATTGGAAGTTACATTTGAAAAAGTAAGTCTTAACTGCTTTGTAGCTCTTCCCCATCAGAGATGCTGCTGACAAGTTGGTAATCTTCTGGCACTTCAAACCTCACTGAAACCACAGAGGAACTCTGTCATACAGTTTTCTTTTAGGAAGAATGAAATGTTTGCTTTAACCTGGTATGCTCAGCATGAGCCACAAAACAAACCTATTAATGTTTCCAGCTATGGTGCTACCCTACAGGGCATGGGTGTTCACCATGCAGGCATTCCTGCAGGAGAAAACCTATGAGCAATCCAGCATCCATCTAAAAAACCAATCTAAGAGAGCATTAGCATCTCCCATGCTGCTTGCCAGACAGAAAACAGCCATAGTCAGTCAGCTAAAGAGTGCAAGGAAGCAGCAGTTTAGAAGAGAAGGGTTGGTGTGGAACATGGAGCTGTGGGGGGGTTGCTTCTGGATGGGTTAGGTTGTTAAAAAGAAGTCAAAGCCTACAAAGCTCAAGGAAGTGCTTGCTATGGACAGATTGTTCAGCCTTTTATGTATGTTCTGAGGATGCTTTAATTCACTTCCTATGATGGGAGGTTCCTTGGGTACATTTCTGGGTGTTCCTTTTGAATTCACAGACTTTAGTCTCAGATGTACCTTGCTGTGTCTCTTATATTTCTACATCTTGATCCTCGTTAATGATATCTAATCAAACCACTACTCCAATAGAAATTTACCTGATGAGGTTTTATTACCCACATTTGTATGTAAATGTGATATAAATCCTGCATTTCCTTTTTGTGTCTGGTTGGTTATTTCAGCCTTTATTTCCAGCCCCTGTTTGATCTTCTGGTTACTACTCATTCCAGTGTTGCTTTAACCCAGCAAATCTATTTTACTGAACATATTCTCAGTCTGATAGTTCAAATAAACTATTGAACAAATGCTTCCTTAATAAATACACACAATATTCTTGGAATCCCTTTTGAATGCTCATGTTCTGTCTCATAGCTGTGATAGGAAATGCCACCCATCCCCAGGGCCAATTATGACATGAATATTGTCATAGGGCCAAACACACAACACAAACAACCTGCAAACAATTTAAAGGATCATGGTGATATTGAAGATAGGTACTGATCCCTAATTCATTGAGTAAGGACATCTCCAATGGGACAAGAACTCTGGTCTTGTTCTCCTGCTTGGCATTTAGGATGCTGTTTTCAAGGAGGACAAGCAGACAACTTCCCCACTCTGAAACTGGGCTATACAAGGACATGCACAGATGGTATTTTTAGGATGGGCTGCAACACAGGAGAAAAGCCCCTCCAGAAAACATGACAGATCCCAGGAGCTTAGAACACCTGTAGTACAACCCTAAGCAACTTGGAATAGCATCAGACATATGTAGGCAGCCTGTTGGGCAGGAGGCAGGTGGATCCAGCAGGCGTGTCATGCTCTTAGTTTTTGTAAGGCTGCTCTCTAAGCTCTGTGGACATACCCAGGACGGCTCAAAATATCCAAGACAATCCCAAACTAAACTAATATCTTGATTTTCCTGCCTGTAAGAAAGGAAAATTACCATTTCATACTCAATGCAGTGCTTGACCCCTGCCTAGAATTAACCTCTCTTCCAACTTCGATCCCTTCCAATTTTTGGAATGCAACTCTGATGTCAAATAAATTGCTAAAAGTATAGGAAATGCTGAACTGGTGGAAAATGCCAGTCCTTGATGAAGTTGTCCCTTTCCAGGCTGCAGTCTGGTACAACTGTTGCTATAGTAACAGATTGTGGCATATTAAATATAGGTACATCCATTTTTTAAAGTACTATAAAATATTTCAGTTTGTATTCAAACATATTTTTTTTCATCAGTTTTGCATTTTACCAAAAAGCCACCTTTTGACTGTAAATGTTACAATTTAACCACAGTAATTAAATGTATATTCATGGTTCCTTTTCTGCATGCACTGTAACAAACAGCTGCTGTCTCTCACTTCAGGAGAAGCAGAAAGTGTTTTAAACACCTGAACTTCAAACTCAAGTTTCAACAGAGCTAGAATTTGTTGGAGGACAGCCATAAGTATTTTGCAAAACAACATAAACCCAAAAGCAAAATCCAAAACAGTAATTTGAAATCCCTCCAGTAAAGTCACTGTGGAACTCAGTATGAGTCTGATGCAGGATGAAATAACATCAATAATCATAATTCAAGTTTATTTGTAAAACTTTAAAATTTTTGATGCCAAGTGCAAACATGCAGCTAAAAACAACTCCTTAAAGACCTCTCATAGAAAAATATCAAACTCTTTCTGGACTGATAACCTTCTTCACATCACAATCTCATCAACCTACAGCATATGCCAAGTGCATATAAAAACAAGTAAAACACAAACTCTGAATCTTGAGGGCATGGGAATCATAAAAGACATTCAGCAGTTCCATGGATAACTCATCAAATAATGTGGAATTCAGCCCTAGGCTTTCACTGCTCTGTAGTCCTGAATACTTATGTTTGTCACTGGAGTGGGATCTACCTCTGCCTACACAAAGGGGACATCTCCACTGAGTTAAAATGCCAGTACTTAAAAACTGAGTCACGTTTTATAGCTAGACTGGACATGGGAACATGTCCATTGACTCTTCGGCATCACCACACAGACCTGGATGAAAGGCCCCAGGTGTCACTTGCAATCCTGGGTTATGAAAAATTGCTGACAGCCCAGAGCTGAAGAAATGGAGATTAAGAAAATGCATGGACAAAAAAAATGCATGCTTACCGGTACCTTCATTTTAAAGTCATCTCGATAGAGTTTAATGCCAATGTCAGCGATTGCCCTTTGGATAAAGCGGGAGGGTCTCAGGACAAACACCAGCTGCAGGTTTCCCGGAAATGCTCCCTGCAAGAAATATAAAATTATTAGAAGGCACATTTCTACCTTACAAGGGAATTTTCAGCCAAGTGTTTCCTCATCAGGGCAAAGCAGGTAGGACTTACTGAATCTTGCTCAGTCCAGCTGCTCATTGCATCAGCTGGTCCATAGAGCACGTGCTCGTTGTCACTATTTCCAAACCCAACAGGAAGACTGACCCATGGATTTTGCTGCCCAGCCACGTGTTATTTCATGATACAGATTTATCACGGAGCTCCAAAGCTCCTGACAAATGCCTTTCCCAGATCCGAACCCCACCAAGCCCCATTTGCACCACCACACCAAAGGGTTTGCCAATTTTTAGGCTGTAGCCACTAGAGGGCAAAGCTGGCTGCCCACATTGGACTGGTGAGGGAAGCTGGTAGCGCAGATGGATTCCCCAGGCTGACCTACCTATTCACTCTGCAAAGGGTTTTCAATCTTTTTAACCTCACATATTTTTACACACAGGCAGGCACTCAACATGTTCATCAGATATGGCCCTGCCTGCAACACCCAGCCTACATCTCTCACATTCCTCTGAGCTAATCAAGCATAAAAAAGGAACAATTTCTTGAAGAGAGCAGCAAAAAAGGCTGAGAATGAAAAATATTTCTGTCTAAATACCTCAAAAGAACTTAAAGTTGCGTTTGTCATTTTGCCATCCTACACCTCTGTGTCTAAGTGCTGGTCCTCACACAGTAAATGCTCCTAGTAAAAGATGTGTAAAACGAGCTGCTTTTCGTAGCACTGAAAATCACTGCCCAGCTCTGACTTTTGCAAATGAGATATAATAAGCTGTTAGGAGTTTCTGACAGAGATCATTTACTACTATGCAAACACAAATCCCTTGGGATCTATGTCTTTCATAAGCAGGCCACGTCATCCCTCCTCAGGGCACAGAAGGGGTACCTCTTATACTCCTCCAGGAACCAACTTCAAATTACTAGAATTTATATTGCAGTCAACCCAGAAAATAAGGAATTTCTCCTAATTCAGCAGTAAACAAGACTATGTAATTTGTCTCTGCAGCTTCCTCCCTCTCTTATTTAACACTTATGAGCTGCAGGGCCAGGGAGAATATGCATCCACAGACAGAAAATGGGAGCTTAAAATGAGCACAGGAGGATGAATCGTGTGCTGAAGGTTCAGCAGACAATTTTAATTTCTAGAAGATAAATAACAAAAGCAAGCACTTACTGCTATTCGTGTCAGGGATGCCTTGACTGCACTCCATTTGTCCCGTCGTCTGTCTATGATGATGATGAATCCGATGCTGGCAGCCTCCAGACTGCAAAACAGATGAAATAGGTGTGCTGGGTTACAGAGAGATACTCCCGTTCCAAGGCAGAGAACTGCAGCAAAACACAGCCTCCGTCACACCACGCTGGGAGCCCATTATGAAAACACAACGTACAGTGGAAAGAATGAGTATTTGGCAGAAACGCACATGAAAAGGAAAGCCAGCAAAATTTCTCTTTCCAGCGTCAGGCTAGCAGTTTACACAAAACATGAATATTTTATCTGCTGAATCTCTCAGCTGCTGTGCTACTCTGCTGCCAGTCTAGGTGACATGAATAGTTCAGGATCACAAATTTCACTGTGCTCTTTTGAAGACAAAACCCCCAGATTTTTATTTTTTTCCAGCAAAATTAGACACTCCCCTACAGTCTTCATTCTCCAAGTATGCTAACACCTGACAGGGGGAACTGAGCTTCAGGGCATTAGTATCCCCTGACTTGTGTACAAAAAGCCCCAGGAATTCTGGTAGGCAAAGCAGAAACAGAAGAGCTCTATTTTGCCAATCACAAAACTGTTCTGGGGTTGCAAGTCATTCAAAATTATCCTTTTCAACACATTGGCTATAATAACAGTTCCTACTCCTTCTCAGTGCTTTTCAAGGAGGATCTAGAAGGCAAGGATTTGGTGCTCCATTTCACCTATGTAGATCTCTTAAATACCCCATCCCCTCTTTCCATCTCAAAAATCCCACTCTGGAGTACAAGGTTTCAGTGGGACTCCTCTTTCCTCTGCCCTCCAAGAGCACTCAGCATTGGAGAAGCTAAGAAGTACACGCTGACTGTCCAGAAACTTCACACAAGCAGGATGGCTCAGTCATCTCAGAAGAAACCAGAGGCAGGCAGGAAGAGTATAAATGTCATAATCAGAGGACATACTGCAATCAAATATCTAATCACAGATTAATAGGAAAGAAATTGTTTAAAGTATCTCCTTGATCCCTATTCCACTGTCCATACAAGTATCAACCCAGGTACACCGTTTCCATGTGTTCTTTTATCCAAACTCATACCAATAATCTACTGAAGACCATCCATCAACACAGTAACAACTCTGAGCTCTTGCTGCAGTTCTGCAGGATCAACAACTGAAAGCCAAAGTATTGTGCAAATCTGGGATGCCATGTAAATGCTCCTGGTAGTTCATACTGCAAACAGGAAAAATCACTGAATTTTCCAATTCAATATTTTTACAGCATACCTCTGAGGATTACAAAATTCAATGACAATACATGACCTTTCCTCTTTAGTAGTGCAACATGCAGCTCTCTGCAGAGGACAGAAAATGTGTTTGCAGCTGTGCCTCTCAAGCACAGGGAAGAGAATTCATTTGTTTTACCTTTTATAAATACACAAACATATACATACACTTCAGAGGTTTTAGATATACACAAACACATACACGTCCTTCAGTAGCTCAACAAATATTCCACAGAATAAAATTCCTTGATAGTTTTCAAATACAGGTAACAAAGAGTGTGTGTGTTGCAGATTGTTACAGAAAGGGTGAGAAAATAACCACAAAAGTCTCAACACGGGGCCTTCACATTCAAATGATGCTCAGCATAGCATCAGTTGTTGTCACTGAGATAAGGCAATGGTATTTGTATGTTTGCTTTTTAATGTGGAGGTTTTTTTGTTGTTTTGCTTGTTTGTGGGGTTGTTTGTTTTTGTTATTGGGGAGGGGTAGATTTTTGTTATTGGGGGTGGGGTAGATTTTTTTTTTTTCTTTTTAGCTAGATAGGACTGCCTGAAGTCCTAAATTTATCCAGGGAAACAGTGAGAGTGTCAGCAAGTGATCCTATTTCAACCAGCATGCTGAAAGGCCATGCCAAGGTCTGAATGTCATCTGGCACCAAGAGATGGATGCAAGCAGTCATGTGAAGAGGTCTGGCTGAGATGGCAGCATCAGTACAAGTGGATGTACAGCTGAGAACTCCCACCCAAGTGAGCATCCAGAGAAAGTTTGTTTAAAAACAAACACACACACAGAGTCTATCAATGTTTTCTCAATGTCAGTACTGTAATATCTCTACCCTCATTATGAAAATGCATTGGGGTTTCTCCAGTTCTCTGAAAAGAAGGATTTGAAGAGCAGATACCATCAGGCTTCCCCCAAAATAAATTCTGGCACATTTGCCTAGATGGACAGATGTCTGGAAGAAAGGTTGCCTTTCCCTGAATGAAATATCTGAAATCAGCAGAACTGTTCTATCCTCAGCTCTGTATTCAGGTTAGCCCTTGAACACTGACTTGAGATGTTGAATTCCCTGACCTCTTTTGGAAGGAGAGAAGGACACCTGTTTTTCAAAGTACTTGATCCATGTCACGTTAAAGAGAAAGGAATTCTCGCCATGGAACAAAGCAAGTAAAAAAGGGCTTTCTAGAGCTGTCTAGTGGATGCACAGAGACATGCATGTGCATACACCATGTTACTGAGTGTCTGTAGATGTTTTTGTATGCAAACCCCTTTGGTGGAGCACTCTCACGAGCAGGTGTTGAACCACAGGGAAAATGAATGAGGTTACAAAAGTCTCACTGGGTTGATCTTCAATCCTGTCATATGTTTTGTCATATGAGCACATAAGATTAATCATTCCAGAGGGGCTTAGAAAGTTACTAACATTAAGTGACGTTATCTGCAATCACAGAGCTTATCTCCACAACTAGCATGAACCTAATTTTACAGGATATGCAAAATCAGGCACCATAAAAGACAAGTGTTCTCTCTACATTTGCCTGGAAAATTATGCTGATTTTTCTGGTTCAAAAAGCTCTGAAGAAGGAAGTATTTTCTATGATAAATAGGATGAACTGCTTTTCAAAGTGTACCCCATCTCACCTGATTCATGGCCTTTGTAACTCCAGAACAGTTAGAGACTGTTCTCTGTTCTTACTTACTTTGTTGGATACCTTCACATCTTTCTTGAGAATGAAAGTAGAAGATAGACTACGGGCAGTGAAACTACATGCAGAGGAATACTATTATATTACACACACCACTATCTAGTAGAGTAGTGCTGGCAAAGGTAACAATGCACACCCTTTACTGCTTGCTAAGGTACATGGCAGAGACACTGTGTGCATGGACCAGCCAACTGCAGATTGACAGGGCTGCACCCAAACAGGTCCACTACTTAGGCCTCATTGAGTTTGAACTCCATACAATTATGTCATAAATCACACAAAGCTTGCTGCTCAGATTCTTCTTCTAAATTAACATCTTTCTCCCTCACCATTTACAGAGATTGTGGCAAGTTTCAAATAGTGACTCAAGAAATGCAGGCAATCTTTCTAAAAGCGCTGCAATAAAGACTAGAAAATTCCCTGGAAAACTCACATCCCTACAGCGTGGTCTATGATGAAACCTAAGAGTCAAACCACTGTGCTGGTATGCAGAAAATGTACCTTCAAACCACAGCTCGTCATTGACCTTGAACAAGTCATTCAGAGCGAACTGAACAGTCACTTACTCAACACAAGTTTTGGTGAGCCTGTCTGTAGAGTGAGATATTACTCATACATACCTCATTATCTGTGAAATAGGTATATCACAGCTCTCCTGACTTACAAAGTTTTGAAACTCAATCCTTCATTCTTTGCACATGGCTCTGGGATTCCTCAGGGGAAGAGAAAACACAGAACTGAAACTGAATCAAAGCAAAGGCCCATCTAGCTCAATACCCTGACTGCAGTGTTGGTAGACAGTGGCTACTGAGACAAAGGCAGCAGGAATATGAGAAGGAGGATATTTCTCTTGGTATATTCTCCCAAGTCCCAGCATTAAGGAATACATTAATTTCTTCAGCCTAAGTTTGCATTTGAGCCATTGTCCAGCTGCCATTGATGGAGCAATCCTTCATGAATTTGGCTAATTTCTTTTGAAGACATCTGTGCTTTTGGGTTTCACACAGGCTGAAGAAGCTCAAAGCATTTCTATCATGTTGACAATGTAACATGCTGGTTCCCCAACATGTGACAAGATCACTGGGAATCATCTCCCTGCATACCAAAGTACAAAGAACTGAAAAAATTAGTTTTGTGGTTTTCTCAGCCACTGCTGCTGCTGTATATAGCCTGAAGCTGGTCACCCTCCCAGTCCTGAATCGAGTAAAGAAATATTCAAAACAGAGTTTCTCCTGGCAGAACAAAAGTCCCACAGAGCAGAGTGAAACAATGAAGCTGTTAAGTTCACAGTATGTGGATTCTCTCAGCTTGCTTTGGCAACTCTTCGGCAACAACTTTGGGAAATATGGGGAATACACGTAGGTGGAGCTGTAAAACTTCTTACTCAAACTTGAAGGAGGCACATTTTCTGCTATGAACCTCTAAGCACCTTTTTACAGAAGACCACAGGAAATAATAAATCATTGCTGTGCTTCTCATTAGCACAGAGAGCCATGGTCTACAGACAGGATCAGGGGATTGAAAAAATATTAAGCTCTCTTAGACAAACAAAAAGTAATTCAGCAGTCATGCCTTAGCACATTTCCTCAGAGCAGGCGAAGACAGTTTCACTATCCTTATAAAGCTGCAGGCAAAAAGCAAGGAAAACATCCTGTCTGTGGAACAATCTCCAAAGAAATGAAGTACCAGAAAGAGCACGGTGCTTGCCAGAATCCTATCAGTGGGGCACCTCACTTGCTTTTCCAGCAAAGGGAAAGCTCCATAGAAAGATGCACTTGGAATAAGCAGTCATGGGACCTATGTAAGTGTAGCTCCCTCCTGAAGCAGCCCTTCCCTCATTACATCCAGTAATAATCCAACCCCTGAGACTTTTCACAAGCAATCCCTCTCAGCTCCCTTTCATCTTTGCTGCTGCTCTTCAGATCTATTCCTGCTCCAATTCAGTTCAATCTGCCCTGTGTGAAGCTTTCTTTTCCATTCAAATGACACAATTCCTGGGGCCTCCAGTAGATAGGGAAGTTTCATAATGACTGGAGAGATGCAGAGGCACTAGTATGTCCTGGTAGGACCACTAAAATTAGCGAGCCACTGGGAAAGCAAAACTCTCTAGAAAATCAACAGAAATTTGTGCTCCTCACCTGGGAATGCTGGTTAGATAAGTGACCACATTCAGAAAATCGTCATCGGGTATCTCACTGAATCCTGCAAATTCTGGAAAGGTTATAATGGGTGCCCCATCCTTCCCTCTTCCTCCTGCAAAAGACAAGTCAATGTTTAGAAGGTGATTTTATGCCTTTGGACAGACTGGTTAGTACTCAAGTGGGAAACACTGGCGTATTTCTCCTTGTAAAGCACCCAGATCCAGTAACTGTCATCAGCTCTCATCTGATATAACTCACTGTAATTTCATTACTTCCGTTTACTCCAGATGAGATTTTAGCCTTTGAGATTCTCAGCTTTTTCATTAATCTTTTGCACAATTCTGATTAAGTGGTTTTTTTTTGTTGTTTCCCATTTCCAAATAATTTCTTGGAATGATATTACAATATTTCCCTACATATAGGTACAGCACTGTCCAGTTCCTTCTAGACATCAAACAAAATGAAGTAACAGAGCATACAAACTTTGAATACACACATATAGACCACAATACAAGCTTGGAACCAATCCAAGCTTAGGTCTTTCTTTAAGAATGCTCAACATGCATGGAGGAATTTTGCTTATCATGCTTATTTGCATCAAACCTCTATTGAACAAGACAGGAAACTGCAAGACTCATAAGAAGAGTTCCTTTCTGAGGGATTTCCTGATGCATATTCAGATAGAGCTACAGCAAGCATGGAGCCAAGCCCCCTGGAACCAAGCAACCTTTACAGTTCTCCTGACACAATGCTCAGCCCCAAGAGCTGCTGTAGTCCACAGCACAGACCCTGTTTACTTGGAGCCCCAATCCTAAATTGGTTCCACTAGCAAATCTGGGCATCGCTCCAGCCACACAGAAGTTATGAGGGGTTTTCTCACCAGCCTGGGCTCAAAGCTGAGAGCAGACTGAGGAGGCAGCAGCACATAAAGAAACGTGATGAAACAAAGTTTTTGTTACAGGTACCTTATTGCTTAGTTCTCCTTAAACAGGGTATTAAGGGTATACTTTTCCCTGAGTCTTTCTCCTTTTTCTGCAATATTTATGTAAGCCTATTTTTTGCACCAGCCTCAGAAATTCTCTAACAACCCAATACTGAGTGGAGTTCTGCTGTAGACACAGTTTTCTGAGTCATTTATCACACACAGAGGACTCTTGCCCAAGGGACAGCCAGATTCTGGGCTTCTCTTTAGTAAAGAGGAAGCTGTGAGGCAGTAAATTACCTTCCTCAGGAAAATATCCAATAAATTGTCCCATTACGAGCATGGGATTGGGGAAAAAAAAAAAAAAAAGTGTTCTCATTCCTTGAAAGCACCCTCTAAATTCCCATAAATAATCCCTGTTTCCAGGCTGCTTCCATCCACCATTGCCTTTCCCTGTTGATAACCACAGCTGATGCCACAAACCAGTTTCTCCCAATCCTGTGTTGGAAAGAGGTGCTCCAGCAATTCCTGGCTATTTCTCTGTAGAGTGGACAGTCCCTTGCTAATCCTGCTCCTGACTCTGCCCTATCCTCACAGCCGTGGTTGGATTATTTAAAATCCCTTCTGTGCTGTCTGGCCATGGAGAGCTGGAATGCTGCAAAATGTTTGCACAAGGTAAAATTTAGAGCTCTAGAAAATAGGCATTTTGAACAAGGAAACCCTTCTTCTTGACATCTAGTGACATGGTATCAGCATATTACCTTTAGCCCCTCTTTTCCTTCCTGAAGGTTGATTATTGCTTTGATTGCATCTGAAAATGACTCATTTGTGTTAGATCATTCACTAAACTCATCTTGCTAGGGAGAAAACAGGCCTACAGAGACTCAAAAGACTCTCAGCCAAGAGAGAAAGCAAGAAAGCCATCATTCACACTGTCCTGAACTGGATTTCAAACGCTGAGTGGAGCCACAGCCTCCCCACTGGCCTTGGGGTGATGCCAAATGCTGATGCATGGCAGCTGGATCTCCAGCTGCACTGTCTGCAATCAGCAGTGATGTAGAATATGCTGTCATGCAAATTTAGTCAGGCTTTCCCCAGACTGCTGCACTCTAGACCAGGAACTCCAACCAGCAGGTAGTCAGTTAGGCTGCTTTGTTACAGATTCTCAGTGACATCTCCTGGACATAAACAGTAACAGCCAGGAAAATTGCTGTCTTTGTTCAGAGCTGAATGCATGCCAAGGTATTTCATACTTGGTGTCTTATGAACATTCACAGGATTCTGGGCACCAGAATTTCCCATTCACATATTTCAAATATGTGAATATACTTTAAATGAGGGAGATGTAGTAACTTGGAATATTTTGCTTTAGAGCAGCAATATTTGCCACTGGAGGATAAGACAGAGATTCCCCTGGATCCCCTTCTTTCAACACCTGGTACTTTAGCTGCAGTTATACTCAAGATTTGTTTAAGCTACAAGTTTCAAATGGTACTTCTAATGCTCCTGCTGACCAGGACCTCTTTGTGTCCTTTTATTTCATCTCTTGCATCTCCATTCGTACATGTGCTCTTCCTCCCCTGGACTCTTCCCTGAGCTGCATGAGGCAGGCTGATGATGCACTCTATGTATGTGGGTATGTATTTTTGTCATGGGATCTTGTCCTATAAAAAGGAATCCAAAGAATGAATGTAAGCAGACTGAACACTGACTTCTTCCTTTCACCACTGGCAACAAATCTAGGACACTTAGGAGCAGCCTCAGATTGAACATTCAAATAAGAGTCAGCAGCTCCTGCCTCTGACCAAGCCCTTAACAGCTCCTGATCTCCATCTCATTCTCCAGTGTGAAGGCAACACTTCCTGCTCCAACCACACCAGAACTCTCAGATGGTTCAGCAGAGCTGTATTTCAGACAGGGAAATAAACAAGGAAACCTTCAGTTCCCACCACATCAGGAAATTTGGGTAATTTTGAGGGAGTTTGGTATTCAGAAATTGTTAAGCACTATGATGAGAACAGAAATGTCTGAAGTGTTGAGTGACAAGCAAATGCCACAAATATGTTCCAAATGAGTTTTTCCTGCCCATATCTGAACTTTGAATAGTAGTTGAGCTACAAAGGAAAATTATCCATATCCATTTGGATAAGGAATATATGGGAAGCTCCTTAAATGCCAAGGGTGTCTGGAAAACTCTCTCCTCTGTATGAGAGAGCAATTCCATACATCTAAATGTTAATGCCATTTTTTTCCCTGACACTAAGCCAAGAATTGCTGCAGTATGCAAATTTCTGCAGAATGTGAATTGACAAACTGCAGCCCTTTTTATCTCGGCTGTCAACCTTTCTTTCTAGGGAGTTGCCACAATATTTCTTCCAGTCCTTGAAATGCTTTAGCTAGATACTACTCAATGCCTTGAAAGGACAGAGAGCACAGATTAAAAGCCAATAGGGAGAGCTTCAGTCAGTTCCATAGTGATAAAGACTGAGTACATGGAATTTGGCCCCAAGAATTCTCTGTATACAATCCTTGTGGTTACTCGGACTGTGCATAATCCCTACACTCCTGGGCATCACTTGTGAGAAGAGTCCAATTGCCAAGTAGAAGAGTTTACAGCCCATTATAAGTAAGGCAGATAGGGACAGAACAAGCTCCAGCAGCTCCACAGAACATCAGAAGAAAAAAATAATCCTCAAGAGAAAATAAAATAAAATAAATACACTATCTAGAAAGTGAAGACAGGAGAGGGAGACAGAAGTGCTGAAGAGAGTGAGCCAATGAGCACAGCAGAGAGGTGAGAGGGGTCACCTTACAGCTGCCAGAAGCATTCTGTGCTGTTCAGCAGTGCCTGCGCAGCTGGGCAAGGGACCTGAGGACTGCCAGGAGCAGAGGAGCTCTTGAGCCATGAGGTGAACTAAGGAGCTCCAAGGGAGCAAGCAAGCAATACCTTGAGTTTAGTGCAGCCAGAAGCAAAAACAAAGACACACTGAAAAATAGGCATCAGGAGCATGGCTGTGCCTGGCAGTGTGTCTGTGCATGCAATGCCTGTGTCTCTCTGACTTGCAGCTCTTCCAGGCACCGTTAGATGCCACCCTGCAGCACTTTCCAAGCAACACAGCCACCCCCAGCACCTCCTGGCAGTTCCAAATGCTGGTGCCCAGCCAGGGAATCAGCAGCTGGTGGCAGTGGCCATTGCAAGCAGCAGCCACCAAAGCTGGAGGTTCAGCTGGCAGCAGGGAAGGTTGGGCTGTCCTGCAGCTGCACTAACATGGGGCTCGCTCCTGACTCTGCCTTAGGGCAGCCAGACTATCCCACAGGAGTCTCCCGTGGCTGGGTCGCTGCTCCTCAGTCACACCCCAAGCTGCTCCATCATAAGTAGACACAGAGTTTTGCCTGGAGAGGAAACCCATTCAGATTTTTGTCTCCTATGCTGAGAAGGAGCATAGGAGAGCTCAACAAGCTGAAGCACAACTGATGCAAACAACAGGATCTAGAAGAGCAGAGGGCTGAATGGGCTGATGAAAGGCAACACTTCCAAGGAAAATATTACTTGACCTTCTGCCTGGTTTGCAGAATGAGAATGACAGCACCTCATTCTTCCTCTTCCTGGGCACATTCCCTAATTTGCTCAGCTTTTCCTCTTCACTTGTGATGCAAAGGAAAAAGAAGAACCTGGATGACAGGTCAGAAGTCAGAGTGAATGTGGAAGGTTAAGCACACAAGCTTAAGGATAGCACACAAGCTGTATCAGGTACAAGGTACCCATGGTAATGGCACCTTCACTCAGTCTTTTGTGTGCCAATCCACAAAGTCCCAAGATGCAGAGCAGCATTCATAGCTGCCAACATAGCCTGGATAGCTGCTGCAGTGAAGATGGGGCCAGAATTCAGCTGTGGAAACAAAACAGCTGAAGTATTTGGAGAAGGAATATAAGTGGGGGAAAAAAGGTTATGGCAGCTGAGAAAATTTAATTCTGCTTTGCAGTATAAAGGGTGTAATTGACAAATGAGGTGTGAGTGCTGAATTCTGAGATCTCTCACAGCTGAACTGCATGTTGGCATGTCTGAGGTAAAAGCAGAAAGCAATCACAACTGCAGGCCAAGGCCCTGAATACAATGAAGATCTTAGAAAATCTCCCACTCCTCAGTTCTAGTCCACCTATGCCTCCCACCTAGGCACAAAAACATCCATGGCTGAGACAATCAGAGGCTACACTGAAGTCCTATTCTATAGCAAACAGCTCTTCTAACTAGAGATCACTAAATATGCTGACTCCCTTGGGAAATAGAACCAACACAAATGAAAAGCACCAGCCCAACAAAGGGGCTATGGTCAGGCGAAGTTCCAAAAGTTAGTCTGCAAGTTTCCAGAGCTCACCTCCCCAGCCTGCCACAGACACTAACTCATCAGTTAGTATTGGAAAGTGTTCTCTCAAATGCTGCTGACACGTGCAGGCTTGACTGCTCGGGCCTGCCTGAATGCAGAGAGCTCCCTGAATCATCACAGCCCAGCCCTGACTGCAGTTCATCTCCTGGGTCAGACAGCCAAAAAGTCTAATAATATCTTGGCTAAAGTTTCACTGCTTTGGTCAGGTCTTGCTTTTTCCAAGCTCTGTTGTTTTGGTTTTCCATGTTGATAAAGGGTTGCAAATGATGAATTTCTCAATAAAGCATGCTTTCTGGGTCTCAATTTTTGTAAAAGATTCATACTGTCCTTTGGGCAAGGTCAGGCCAGGTTTTCAAAAAGGCTCAATTTAAACAGGAAGCAGATGGCCAAATACCCTCCAGGCTTTGCAAATTAAATAAACTGGCTTCTGAGTCAGTTACCATTTTCAGACATATTCTCCCATCCACTGAAGTCTGTTAACAGGAACAGAACACAAAGAAAATGATTCTCTCTGCTAATACCCTTCGTGACAGTTTGTCTAATAAAGTCGTGATTTAGCAACATGATCCATTATTGCTGCAAGTGGCAGATTGGGCATTTTGACAGAGTAATTACAGATAAGAACAGGTTGTGAAGCTGCAGATAAAAAGTGGGGGAGGGGAAGGAATAGTAGCAGTTCCAAGAGCAGATTGGTACAGCAGTTTATTAGACTGTCAGCAGGACAGAAAAAGTATTTTACTAGTGATTCTTTATTCTTGAGTAAAAACTGGTGTGTTAGAATAACCCAGTTTTCAGTACTACTCAGCTTTGTGATCTAGTTCCCTTAACAGATACAGAAGACACACAAACCTAGCTGAGCACTCCTGTGTTGTCACAGCTGTAGTCCCATAATTGGGAGTTTGGTTTTCAGGGAAAGGATAGAGGCAGTAGCGATATCAAAACTAGAATTTAACCACAAGAACCAGTACTCCTGCCAGATCTCACAAGCTAAGCAGTGCTAAATGTAGCACATGGGAAGAGAGATGACTAAAATAAAATTGCATTCTTAGGGACGTTGTCACATTACTGCAACCCTTTCCATGACTTTAATGGACCAGGGAAGGCTTTGGAGAGTTTCCCTGTTCTTGGCATGGAGTAAGGTCTTGATTAGTCTGGTAGGTGGAAGACCGGGTAATGCATTCATTGTAACTAGACCCTGACAAAATCAAACACCGAACTCACTGGATTGCTATGTAATTCCTACCATCTGCTCAGAGACCACAAGACCGTCAGATCCTCTTAAGAAGTTTGCACACAGCAATAGTGGAGAGAAGTGTTTCTAATGAGTCATGTCCAGGGAAAACAAAGAACCTTTGATTCAATAATTTTCCTCTTTCTTTTCTGCTTTACTGCAAGGGAACATTGTGAGTTCACTGCCTCTGCCTCAGCTTCCAGCTGTTACTAAAAAGATGGTATTAACCAAAAAAATACTCATTTGTGAACAAAGTTTGCAACAGTCAACCACTGACTTTCATTATTGCTGGACAAATGCATTTGGGGTCCACAGGACTAAACAGGAGAGCCTGACAAAGCTAGAGGCTGTGGAGTAACACAAACCAGGCTCAGTGCTATATACTCTGGGCTCTGCACAGATGTGGGAGAGGCAACTGGCTGTGCTCTGGGGGCTGCAGCCTCCAGACTCAAAGATAACCCCATCTAGTGGAAATCAGCGTATACCACTGTTAGGAAGTTGTTCAGAGAAACATAATTTTTGTATATAACTCTCTACAGGAACATTGGAATTGCCTTTCACTGCCCATGATGGCAACACCAAACAACAGAAGGTTTTCTTTTTTTTCCAGACTACTACTCGGTGGCTACTGAGCTGCAACATTTCAGTATGGAAAACCAGGAAATAGGCTAAGTAGCAAATTTTCAGCCACCATGTAGGCAAATGCTGAAGCACCAAAATCCTTGTGGTTGCTTGTACCTAGTGAAAAGCAGTAAACACCATGCTTTGAGGAAAAGCTACAGAGCCATCTGGAAAAAAAAAAAGAAAATCTAAATCAAATGAAGTTTACACGTGAATTACTTTAACAAGTGAATATATCACTTTAAAAAAGTGAAATGAAGCAGAAGAGTGCCCAGATTTGTTTTCATTGCATGAAAAAAAAATATTTTGCTAAAGGAAAAAGAAAGTTACATTATTTAGAGAACTGCATTTTTGAAAAGTATAGTAATGTCTGGCTTGCACCTAAAGTTCTCTTTGCAGGAGGCAATAACAGGAGAGTAAGGAAGATTCCTGCTGTGTTTTACTTATGACTCACCTGTGGTTACCAACAGAATAAGACACTGGGCCAAAGAGTAGAGGCACCCAAGTTTCCACATTTAGCTGTAAATTTCAGACTGAAATCAACTTAGAAGCTATGAACTACACTGCCCCATTTTATAGCAGGATGCTATTTCTAGACTGTACTGAGGAGATTTTAGATAAGCCTGAAAATTCTTTAAATGCAATTTGTTATTTATGTAGATGGGGGCGTGAAAGACACCTTCTCACTCTTATTTGGTATTTGTTATTATTATTTCTGTGTTGATGAACCAATTATTTGCTGATTCCTAACAAACAAGTCTCTCAGCCTTGCCTTCTATAAAGAGTTATTTTTCAAGTCTTTAAGCAGCTCACATTTAAACAGCCTTATTTAAACACCTTTCTCATCACTTTCAAGAATAAAAGAATTAGATAAATGTGAAGAGTTGAATTTGCCAAAATAGCAGGTGAGAACACAGGTACTGCTGAAATTATAAGTCCATAAAAGAGTATGAAAATTCTTTTTTTATGTCTACCCTTGACATTTTTTTCCATGTTTAATGTTCTATCTGGAACTGGAAATGGACTTTTTTCTTCCCATTTAGTAAACCACTTTCCATAAATTATTACATGCTCATTACGTGCTGTATTCAACTTCTGCTATTGGTCCCAAATGTTGCAAGGTAACGGGGTTCAAAAATAGCAATCCTGCACATTTCACTGGGTAGGCAATTGGTTATGAGGCACTCAATTCTCAACAGTTCCTACTCACCCTGCACTGAGCACAGCAGTGGGATGGAAAGGGTTTGAGCCATTTCATGGAGTTACAGACCCTGTCCTGCCCAGAGGGTTGTGTTCATTAGGAATTCTAGGAAGGTGGAACCCTGAGATGTTTTGCTGCAGATGAGGAGACAGTTGCTTCCACCTCTGCTCAGTCAATACCCTCTGTCTAATGCAAACCCTTTAGTTATTGAGCTTGGGAAGCTACCACAAGATCCTACCTGGAAGCCTCCAAAATCAGGTTTTAATACTCAGAGCTTCATAAAGAATTATGCATAAACTAGATTTGGATTTCTTTCGGCAACTTGGAATATACTTTAAAATGCAAAGATGCAGCAAGGATTGGGCCTGCTGAGCTTGCCATTTCCAGAGCTGGGTTGGTGCACTCTCTGTGCTCTATACCCAGTGTTCCTCTCCACCAAGAGGTTGTCCCTTTTCCATGGGACCTTCTTATAATCTCAGCATGTTGTGCAAATTCATGATACTTCACTGTTTCTGTGGGGAAGCTGATAAGTAAATTCTGAATTTTCTTATTTGCAGAACAGGCAGAAATAGAGACAAAAGGAGTTGCCAGAGGCCATGCAGTCAACAGAAGAGGATGTTTTAGGGCACAGATAAGATTTAGCATCTACAGTATCCAAAATAACGTATTAAATAATTTGCCAAATATTTCAGTATCAGCTCTTTCTTTGGGGAAGGAACTGCGTCACTTTGTGTGATTGCAAACTTTAGGCAAACAAAGGACTATGTAATAATCATATCTTTCAAAGATTAAAACTTTACACTTTAGCAATGAATCATTTCTAAAACAAAGGCAAATGAGGAAGAAGGGGGAGGTCATGAATAGATCCCTGATAGACCAAAATCTTTTCCCACAAACAAGATGTTGGGACATTGTGCAAAGATATGTAGTAAAAGTTTTGTTTAATTTCTTGCCCTCTAAATATGTTCCTCCCAGCCCATTGTGGAGAACATGGAAAATTAATTTGAATTAAAAAAAAACAAGTACAGCAGCTTGGCATTTATCCATTCCATACACCATGAATATCTGATTGTAGCAGCACTTTTCAGGATCAATATGAAAATACTATTGCAACTGCTGTGCAGAGCTGAAGGGTGACAGCGTGACACATTCCAATATGTTTCCAAGAGAATCACAGAGTGTCATTATCAGCAACTTCTTACCTGACAAGATTGCAAATTGCCTGTGGAGCTGCTCTATTATATCCACTGCTACCAGCGGCCGTATCTCCTGCTGCATGATTTCATCTGTGCAAGGGAAAACAGAAATCTTCAGTGAGTTCATATAGCCTCAATGACAATTTTTTCCTCCTTTATCAACCCAGCAAAACAAAGATGACACTCAAAGAAAAAGGGCCTAGCTGGACTATTGCCCGAGCTATTATATGACTGTCGTGGTAAAGATTATGATACTTACAGAGTCTCCTCTTCAGATTGTTAACTTTATCTTTTGCCTTGTGATTTCCGAGAGAGCTTTCCATAAACCAGCTCCAGTAGGTTTGCCAGAGTTTGCCACGGGTTTGCTCAAGCTGACAGCCTGCTCCTCAGCACTTCAGGTTCCATATTAAGTCACTGCCTTTGGCCTCCCACTGCAGCAGTTTTTCAATATTTGAAACAGTGAAGTCTATGCCTCGTATATGGCCCTGTTCCACCCTGAACTCCCAGATCTCTGCTGGAGGACTTTGTGTAACCAGCCAATCCACAACAGTTTCCTTTCCTAATGCTTTTTCCGCTACAAGTAAATACATAGTAAAAGGAGGAAGTAAGAGGATGTGAGACTTTCTTCTCATGAAAACAAAGCCTGTATTTTGAAGTAAACACTAAAAAGTTAAAAAGTAACTTGGCAAGTAGCTGGGCAAAAATTACTTCAACTTTTGTGTGTGATCTATGGAGTGAAAAGCAATTATAGTCTCACATGGAGCTAATTTGATCTCTTTTTGTAACAGGTGCACCCAGTTATTTTCCCCACTCTTCGCACCAGTCTAAAGCAGCAACATTTACTGAGAAACATCTGCCAACTCAACTGGCAGGATCAAGGTTTATGCTATAACAACACCTATTTGAACTACTCCTTTGGCCACTGTACAGAACAACAACCAATCCTGATGTTGTACAGATCACCTCTAAGTGCCCAGACAACAGGTGGAAGGAAGGTGGCTGGGTCTAGATAGACCACAGACCTGAGCCAGGGCAGGCAGTTGCCCCATTTAAGCACCAAGATCTTAACTGATGTGAATTCAACACAAGCACTGAAATACTTTTGTGCACCTGGTTTTAAATCAACAGTCTAGAAGGAGAGAGAGGGGTCAGAGAGGTTAGAGATTACCTTCTTTCTCCTGCATCCTAGTCTACTGCCCAAAATACCTTCTCTGTCTTGCTTTCAGACATCCACTCTGATCCTTTACAGAACTAGGGATTCTAGGTTTTAAATGACACAATGTCATTTGAAAAGTTCTGTGTTCATTTTCAAACACTTTACTAATGCCTTGAGACAAAGCAGCTGAAGAGCTTGTGTCACAGCAGGTGACACACAATGTGAAAAGAAGTTGCACAGATTTTGGCTGATGCACAAAAAAGGCAATCATTCCAAAGAACTAGGGGGGGGAGAAGGGGAGGAGTCAAGAAGGATGATTCTGGAAATTCTCCTTTTTGAACTTAGTAGGAGAAAATGCAAACTCGAATGAGTGATGTTTTTGAGGTGGGACCTTCTTTTCCATCTTGTTTCTGAGGCTCACTATCAGCTCTCTGATTCTTGACATTGTAGGTGGCAAAAGCAACGAGGAATCACTAAGGGGCTTGGTGTCAGAGATGGTTATGCATTCCCAAAGCAAACAAAAGAAACCCATTAAGTTTTCCTCTTTTACTCTGCAATTTCTTCCATGCATATCCAGAATGGGACCTGGGAAGGAAACTACAGAGCAAATAAAGGAAAGCAAACTAAAATCTTTTTGAATATACAAGGTTATTTTTTAGATAGTAGAGAATACTATAAGCCTGATTTCTCTCTAGCTGCTGAAGAACAGCTTGTTGATAGCCCTGTTTGGAGTCAGATAAATACTATACTCAAGGAACCAGCAGCAAAATGGTCCTGTAATCTATGAACACAGTTCTCAGCAGGTACTGAGAAATCCCCAGATTATCGGTCCAAAGGTTCTACGACCCCTGAGAAAGTACACTGGATGTATCTCGGAATCACCATAATAGTAACAGATTTGCCCTTTTCATAAAAGGTGTTGGCAGCAAGATGAAGGCAGAAGAGAGAAAAACTGGTGACTGTAGCTGATGGTAACAAAAAAACAATCAACATGGGAAATATGAGAACGGAAAATCAAATTAATAATTAAAACAAAGCTTGGATTCTCAGAACTGAGGAACTTCAGGGTATCATCCATTGAAGGAAAAACTGTTGATTTCAGTATCCAGAAGGTGCAAAGTTATTGTGACATCTGTGTCACACAGATGGTTAGGTACACTCAGGTTTGACCAGGAACAAGATTATGACAAACAGCTGCAAAAATAGGGAAAATATTTCTACAATGGATGACAGAATCACAAGGAGGTTCGACAGAAACGGAAAGTTAACTAGAAAAGGAGCCACCACTTCTGACCTCTCAGAGACTTGCCTAGCCCTCCAGGGTAACAAACCTGCCAGTACTTCAGTTTGTGTTTGATGTTTGCCAATGTGAAGACATCATTAATATCAACCAGTCTTGAGCAAAACAGAAATTCCACCACCCACCCAACCCCTATTTAGCTTTATTAGCTTGCTCTAAACATAGCTTGGTTTCTGGTTTCTAAATACCCTTTTTATTTCAAAATATTTTTGCGATGTAAGGATAAGATGAAGCAAAAGAAACAAGAACTGCAGAGTGCGAATTAGTTCTCATCAAGTCCCCTGCCTGGGCAAGACAAACCACATGGGATTTGCTGTGAAACCCACACTCAAGAGATGTTCAGATGATGAGAAAGGTGATACAAAACACATTCGGTGACTAGGAATCACACATTCAATAAGTCAGTACAGTTCACACACTGACATGCTGGGAAAAGAAATTGTAGCAGAAGAAACTAGCAGGAGACTGAGAAAATCTGAGAAAACAAGGGAAGGTGCCTCACGAGCCCAAACAGCAAATCAGATCATGTGGCTATGACATGTCAGCATCTGTAGCCAACAGCACTCAAGGTCCCATTTGCCCATTTTTATCTTCCTCTAGGACAGTGCTTAAAGGTAGTTACTCCCCAACATGGAAGAATTTGTAACGCCATCACAGCACAGAACTCGCAGTAGAAGTCCCAGTCCTTGGAAACGTAATTACCTGGGGCTGCTGGAGGAAGCTTTCAATCTTTGACTACAAGAAAAGCTTGAAAAAAATCTTATAAGCAAACCAAAAGACACAAGTCTGGGTTTGTTTCAAAGCTATGACATTTGCCTAACATCACTGAGTGTTCATCATTTATGTCTTTCACTACCTTTATGTCAGGAAGCTCTGAAGCCTCTCTGGTGTGTACTGCAAGCCAGAAGGCAGCAGAAGTGTTATTCACCCTCCTGGACACAAGCAAGGTACCATTTTTCTGTGGGACTGATATTCCAGCTGAGAAACCCCTTCTTCAGGGTAACATGAGCTGGTATTGAGCTGACAGCTACAGGTTCATAGACACTTCAGAAAAACTTACTGATGATAGGCACATTTTAACACTACACGGAGTCAAGGGGAATGTTTCAGGAAGCTGAAAAGCTTCAGGAACTGAACAATTATCTTATTTCATTGCACCCCTTGGTACAGAGGAGATCAGACAACTCCTGGTCTCTTCAGAGCAGTCCCATTCTCTGATAAAATCTGTATAGGCATGCAACTCAAGATCTTATCAAAACATACACCAGCCAAGTGTCTGGAACATATTTATTTTGGGAAACTTGACTCAGACATTTCCCACCTTCTGTGTGATTGCTCTTGGGGTCTTCTTTTTTTTTAAAGAGGCAGTTATTCATAGACTCTAAAATTTGAAAAAGAAAAATTTAATTGTTTGGTGTTACATGAAACAATGCCAATCCCCTACACAGGTCATCAAAGACGAACATTTACATATACCATGCAGTTCATCATTACTTGAATTAATTGAATTTGTCAGGACAATTTAAATATGAATACGGATGTGATAAAAGAGGAAGAAAAATAAAAGAAACAAGTCAGTTCATCTGCTCTTTGTTCTCCTCTTAAACTGCTATAAATTCAATTCTTAGCAGAGGCCAGTTTCAATGCAGAAGAATTAGGCCTTACAGTTTTGCTTCCCAATGTTTTCTACCAAGGGGAAGAAAAAGAAAAGCAATTACTATAGCCATCTGTCTGGCATAGCTTCTCCTCCTTCTAGCTCTCTAGGGATGCTTACTGCAACTGCGCTATCTGATCCTCAAGGGGAAAGCCATTCAGTTATGCTTCATAATTCCTCATTCTAAAATGAAACCTGCTTGGGCTTGCACACACACACACACACGCTCGCTTATTCTGTGTCTCACCCAGCTGTATGTGCTCCCACAGCAGGTCTGGAGGATCTACACCAACAGCAGATGATTAAAGGCAATAAAGAATATCCTCTTGTTCTTTCTTCTCTGAGCAGACACAAACTAGTTTACATGCTAATGGCAACCAATTGTTTCCAACAGTGCTGGAAAGGTGACCTGCTGGAGTGAGGGACTGGACTACAGCAAGCAGATTGACACAGCAGTGCCTGTTGCTCCACCAAGGACAACTAAAGGCCACCAACCACTACAGGACACTGGGGTGTCTTTGTTTTTAGGTGGCTGAAGGCTACAACTGCCTGGCCTTCTGCTGACTGCAGGAGAGGATGGCTTCAATCCCCTATCTGAAGTCACTACTCTTGGAATAATGGGTTACAAATTTCCAGAGCAAAGTTCATCTCTTCTTAATGACAGCCTAATATGTAATTCACAGGGAAAGAAGACAGCTGGGAGTGAAAGATAATATTTTCTAGAATAGTGGAATACATCAGCCTACTTCTACTTTGTACAAGCTCTATCAAAAGTTACGCTCAAAGTTTTCATAATTGTTTGGAGAAAAATCAGATTGCTGATGTGATGGAAAAGGGTCAGACAGGGTTAAGCATGAGGTCAGATATTTCTTGGCCTGATATTTCGTTTGAAGAACTTACAAGGATAACCTCACATTATATGTTTTTATGCTCCTTAAAAAGTACCAAAAGGCAAATCCAGAGTTTGAAAGTTGCAGAAT